CAAAAAAAAAAAAAAATAGGAAACAGTAAAAGTAACAATAAGAAGTAGCAACATAAAAATGAAAAATCACTTATCACTTAATCACTTAATCCCCGTTATTCATCGATTTACTCGAGCGGGTGCCAGTAACGTCTCCATTCACCCCGGTTGCGTGCTAGCATAGCCCAGTGGTATCTGTTCGTTCTAGGAACATGCAGAGCCTCAAACCGATCATTCAGGGTCTTGACGAAGAAGTCTGACCATCTTGTAGGTGGGTGTCCACGTGATCTTTTGATGTCCCGTGGAATCCAATCAGTAATGGCTCTAGTCCAGAGGTTGTCTGTAAACCTCATTACGTGTCCAGCCCATTTGATTTTTGATGTCTTGGCAAATGAGACAGCGTCCCTGATTCTTGAGCGTTGACAAAGATTAGAACTCCGGATTCTATCTCTCATTTGAGTGAATCGTGATATTACAAGCAAAGCTCTTCGATTCCTCTTTGAGAGACCCGAATAGCGTTCTCATCCTGTTTTCGTAGGGTCCAGGTCTCTGAGGCATATGTTAATGCAGGAAGAACAGTGGAATCAAAGAGATGTGCTCGTAGCTGGAGGTTCCTTGTCCTTTTAGTTATTTCTTCAACGTTCTTGAAGGCATTCCAAGCCGCTCTCTTCCTCCTGTGCAACTCAGGTGCCAGGTCATTCATCATGTTGATTTCTCGACCTAGATATATATAACTGTTGCATTCGGAGATGGTGGTTCCGTTGAGAGCGAATGGAACGTCAGGAACAAGGCTGTTTCTCATAAACATTGTCTTCGTAAGATTCAGCTGTAGTCTGACCTTTCCACATTCACAATTAAAGTCATTCAGCATTTGTGCCGCTTGGCTGATGTTTGGTGTTATTAGAATGATGTCATCAGCAAAGCGGAGGTGGTGTAGTTGCCCGCCATCTATCTTCACTCCCATGCTTTCCCATTCCAGTCGTTGCATGATGTTCTCGAGGGTGGCACTGAAGAGTTTTGGTGAAATGGTATCACCCTGCCGAACCCCTCTCTTGATATGGATGATAACTTCTTTGTAGAATGGTGAGATCTTGGTAGTGAATCCGCAATAGAGCTCATGAAGGATCCTGATGTATTGAGTTTGTACGCCCTGATTGGCTAGGGCTTCCATGACCGCTTCTGTCTCAACAGAATCAAAGGCCTTCTTTAAATCAATGAACGTTAGACAGAGCGTCATCTTGAACTCCCGAGAAACCTCAATGAGCTTAGTAATCGTGTGGATATGGTCGATGGTACTGAATCCTTTTCGGAATCTGGCTTGTTCACATGGTTGTCCTTCATCTAGTGTTCTGCTAATCCTATTCAGGATGATTCGAGTGAACAGTTTGTAGACGACAGACAATAGGCAGATTGGGCGATAGTTGCCAATGTCGTGGATGTCTCCCTTCTTGTATAGTAGTATAGTCCTGCTGGTTTTCCACTGGGATGGAACCTTGTATTCAGACAGGTAGCGTGTGAAGAGCCGAGCCAATGTATTGATGAGTACTGATGGTAAGTTCTTCAGGTGTTCACGTCTGATCTTGTCTGGGCCAGGTGCTCTTTGTTTCTTTACTGACGAGATGGCGTGTTGGATTTCGGAAGGGAAAACATTGGGAACGACATATCCATCATGTGGTATGTGGTATGTGGGCAAGTGGACGTGGTTATTAAAGAGATCTGAGTAGAAGTCATGAGTAATCTTCTCCATTGCCCTTCTGAAAGATGTGATAGATCCATCATGATGTCGGAGGGTAGTCATCTTGGTTTTGTAGTTGGTGAAGGACAGGCGGGCTTTACGAATGCTTTTCCCAACTTCTGCCGCATCTACCAGTACTGCTGCTCTCCTGTTTTTGAGGTCATCCTTGATGACTTCTCTGCACTGTTTTGCCAGTTCGGATGTTCGCTTGTGGTTGCCTGAGGCATGTGCCAAGCCACGTTGGCGAGTAAGTTCAAGAGTGTTCGAAGAAAGGCGGTTTTTTTGTGGTTATCTCTCTCTTGGCATTCTTCGCACAATCATGGAGGTGTTGAATCATTCGATCGTATTCCTCATCAATGTTGTCAATGACGGCATCTTCCCATGTTGCTGCAACAGAGCCAAAGAGCTCCCAGTTGGTGGTCGTTCTGGGAGCTCTCTTCTTAAACCTTGCATTCTTTTCTCCTCGTTCTGTGAGGTAGAATTTTGCATGAAGAAGACGGTGGTCTGATCCCGTTTGGAATTTTGGGACAATAGCAACATCGGTTAGGCAAAACCGCCGATTGAATATGATGTGGTCTATTTCATTGTGGAACCGTCCATCGGGAGACTCCCATGTCCAACGTTTAGATTCAGCCTTTTGGAACTGTGAGATACCATGGAAGGTTTTGGTTGACATGATGAACTCAGACAGTCTGTCACCCTGTTCGTTCCATTCTAGGCCATGGGTCCCGATGTGGAGTTCATCGACTGATCTTCTTGGTCCTATCTTGGCATTAAAATCACCGACAATGATCTTGTAGAAGGTGTGATCTTCTTTATAGAACTTCTCCAGTTCCATGTAGAACTTCTCAGTTTCTCTTTCACCATAACTGGATGTTGGTGCATAGACAACAAAGATAGAAACTGCCGGTAGTGAGCCACATCTATTCAAGTATAATCATCCGATTCGGGTTGTTAGGCATTCAAATGAATCAATGCTCGTGGCTAAGTTTGTGTTGACAAGGATACCGACACCACCAATGCCTCTTTTATCACATGTTCCAAGGAACAGTTCTTCTCCAGTGTCGAAAACGGCATGATGTGATTGATGTCTTCTCGTTTCGGTCAGACCAATGATGTCATACTTGATCTTTCGCACTTGTACCATAAGGTCTTCAATGGATGCAGTAGATGCCAGCGTACGAGCATTAAAAGTACAGACAATCATTTTTGTTTTTCTTCGTTTTGGCAGTCTATTTCTGCCTTGGTATTTTATCAGCCTTTCCTTCCATATCCTTCTCGACTCTGCCATATTCAGGGTTACGGGAATGAGATCCATTTATTACTGGATTTGGCATATCAATTTGGTCTATTTGGCATAGACCACGGATAGCTTGCCAGGCTCTGCTGTGCGGGTGGGATATTTAAAACTTAGAGAAAAGTAAATAAATAGTCGCGCAGCCGCGAAGTCCCGGGAGCTTGTTGTGATAATCTCTGGATCCTGGCCGTTGTTGGGGTAACACGGCAGTTGTAGGGTGTAACTGTCTAGCTACTGACAGGTCCAGTCCCAAACCGTGCAGGCTTGGAGATCTCAGCCTCAGGTCCCACACACCTGGGTTCCTCTGCCAGTTCTGTTATGCCTGAGGCTTATCCAAGTGTGTGGAGAGTGACCTCAGTATGGCCTTGGCTGGGGCCTGGAGGTCTTCAGCTGTTTGGGCCCTGGCAAGGATATTCAGGCACAGGGTAGGAGACTCTGCCTTGTGCTCTCCCGGGAGCTTGTTGTGATAATCTCTGGATCCTGGCCATTTGAAAAAGCAGATTGTAAAATTCAGTTGTATTTTTAAAAATATCACTATTTCTAGACTTAAGCTTCATGACTGTTTTAACATGAATCACAAAGTTTGAAACTGTTGCCAGGTGCCTTCCACTAAATATTAGGACTCATTAACTTCCTAATTTTCTTGAATTGAATCACCATAAATTACAAAGTTGCAAAGTTAATCATGATTTTCAGATGTACAGTGTTCTAACGGGAGTCCCTTCACCAGTGTCCACTTCCCTCCACCAGTGTCTTCAGTTTTCCTCATTTCCCCATAAAGTCAGGCATTTTTTTCTTTTTCCTTCCCTCCACTCCCCTTATAGGCACAGTGTTTTAAAATACTGTTACCGATGGAGTATCATGCACATCCCTTTACCTCCTTTCAGCTCCTGGTACTGATTCCGAGTGATCACTTTCCTCTATCATTGTTTTCAGTGGTTTCATCTCTGACATATTCCGCATGTTCTTCACCCTGCCCCCAGGTTTCCTAGCAAGGTCCAGTTCTCCTGATCTTTGTTTCTATTGTCTTTGAGCTTTAGTTACCTCCCTATTATGTTTCTTTATATCATGCATTTGAGTAAGATCACTCTGTCTATCTCTCTACAACTGACTCATTTCACTAGTCTGGTACAGTCCAAATTCATCTATGTATCAGCAAATTGTATGACTTCATCTTTTCTTAAGGCCTAGTAGACATAACATATTTTCTTTATTCAGTCATCTGTTCTTGGGCATTTGGGTTATTTTCAGAGTTTTCCTATTTTCCTATATCCTATGAGTAATGTTGCTATAAACATAGGAATACAAATTCCTTTCATAATAGAGTTTTTGGAGTAGAGATAGATCCTAAGGTGCGGAATTGCTGGGTCACATGAAAGCTCAATTCCTAGTTTTTTGAGAAATGTCTATATTGTCTTCCAAAAAGTCTGGACCAGTTTAATTCAAGCAATAATTAGGGTCCCCTCATTAACTTCTGAGGATGAAAACTTTGTATTATGCTTGGAAAATGGAAGGACTGATCTTTCTCCTCCTGCCTCAACACACAAAAATAATATTAAAAAAAACCTCACTGGGATCTCTAAATCTTCCTTAAATGCAAGTGTGAAATTGTTTCTATTATCTTTTCAAAAGATTTATATTATTTCATTTGGGACACTGTCTTGTCTACATGAGAAGGAAAAATAATTTTCTTTTTAAAGGTAAACATTTCCAAAAGAACACAGTTTTCTTCCGTTTTTTAACATCATGGTGAAGGCATACTTTTAAAAAGTGTAGAGTTGTTTTCCTTTTCATGTGGGTGTTTTATGTTCTAGGAATCATCATTCCTCTGTGTTATTGCTACTTCAAAGCTGAAAGTTTTCCCTACAGGAGATGGAAGCTTCTGTAGAGTGGGGTGAGGGTTGTGAGGTTGTTCAGGGTGTTACAGTGGCTTTCCAGCATTTTCTTAACAAATATAAAGTGCTACTGAATGCTTTTTCAATTTTTCAGTGTTTTCACAAATGGAACATTACGTATCCCACCTGTAAAGATTATTATACCCAGATTTACAATTCAGGATTGGAATAATGTGCTGGCCACAGTTGGAGAAAAAGTCTTTCCTTTTGGAGGTGTTCAAAGGTAAGGTTCTCTTTTATCTGTAGAACAGTTTGAGTTGTAGCTGTTCTAGGTGTGGTGCAAACAGCTTAAGAAGACTAAGCTTGTTAATATGACCAACACCCTGACATTAATGTTAATGTTGTTGTTACTGTGTTTGGCATATCGAATACATCACGGGTGGCTTGCCAGGCTCTGCCGGGTGGGTGAGATACTCTCGGTAGCTTGCCGGGCTCTCCGAGAGGGGCGGAGGAATCGAACTCGGGTCGGCCATGTTGGCTGCGTGCAAGGCAAACCCCCTACCACTGTGCTATCGCTCCAGAAAAATTTTATTTTTAATGAATCACTGTGAGGCACAGTTACAAACTTAAAAACTTTTGTGATTACGTGCCAGTCATACAATGATCGAATACCTATCCCTTCACCAGTGCCCATTCTCCATCAACAATGTTCCCAGTATGCCTCTTGCCACCCCCAATCCCCTTCCTTCCTCTATGGCAGGCACATTCTTTTTAACTCTTTCTCTCCTTTAGGGTGTTATGGTTTGCAATACGGGTACTAAGTGGTCATTATGTTCAGTTCATAGTCTACTTTCATCACACATCTCCTATCTTGAGCGAGCCCTTCAAGCATCATTTACTTGGTGGTCCATTGAATGAGGGCCCCTTTTCTCTCACATTCGTGACATCACTGATGGTTGTTTTTGATGTATGCGTGTCTTTCTGGTATGAAATGATGTCTCATAGTTGTTTTGATTGCATTTCCCTGGTGAGTAATATGGAGCAGTTTTTCATATTCATTTTGACCATTTGTTTTCTTCTTTGAGGAAGTTTCTGTTCATCTCTTTTCCGTTATTTCTAAGGTTGGATTTTTTTTTTTGTAGAGGTCTACCAGTGCTTTATGTTTCTTGGATATTAACCCTTTATCAAATAGTGGTGGACACATAATTTCTCCCAATCTGTGTGTTATCTTTGTATTCTGGTGATCATTTCCTTTGAGGTGCTGAAGCTTCTAGTTTAATGCAGTCCCATCTGTTTAGCTTCCACTTACTTGGTCAGTGGCATTTCTTCTTTGAATAGTCTCCAAATTCAGTTTTATCTAGGGTTATTTCTATGTTTTCCTCTATGTATCTTATAGAAATATGTCTGATTTTGAAGTCTTTAATCAATTTTTGTTTGACTTATGCATGGTATCAGAATGAGGTCTCAGTTCATTTGGGGGGGCGGGTGCACACCCAGTGATGCTCAGGGATTACTCCTGTTTCTGCACCTAGGAATCTCTACTGGTGATACCAGAAGGACTACTTGGGATACTGGGGATTGAACCTAGAATGACCACGTCCAAAGCAAATGCCCTACCCATCGGACTATCACTCTATTCCCATGAGTTCTTTTCTTTTTCTTTTTTTTTTGCATGTGGCCAACAGTTTTTACAACACCACATGTTGAAGATGCATATCTATGGCTCTTAATTCCCTAAAAGCTGAATACACATTCTTCTCCAATTTATATGGACATTCTTTATCATTTTTCATGCAGGCCACATGGTTCTTCATAAAACATTTCTTCACAAAGTTAAGAGGATAGAAATATTACCAACTATCTTCTTAGACCATGATGCACTCTCTGCTCGAGCATCTTGGCCAAATCCGTCTCCATGATCACCACCTCCATCCGCTGAGATGCTCCTACTCCACAATTCCCTCCTAGCGATGGAGCGGGAAGTCCTCAGGGCCTCGTGCTCCTGTGGCTGCTCTGGGAGACTCTGCGCCCAGCTGTCACTCACGGGGCAACCCGCTGGCTCTGGGGAGCCACGGAAGCATCCCTGAGGCCAGCTCCTCGGGTGCCAATCCCCTCTCCTGGAGTCCCTGCGGGTACCAAGAGGTGGGGAAAGAAAGTCCTGTGGCCCCTGCAGCCCCGCAATCCCGCCGTGCACCTGGCAAGAGCCCGCTGCGGGGGGACACTGGGCGTGGAGTGCAGGGAGCAGGGGCGCATGGCCAGCGGGCAAGTTCCTTTCACACACCGATGCACCGCCCTGGGACGGACTGAACCCTGGGGGTAGCCAGAACTTTTTTTTTTTCTATGTCTCATTTTGCCATGCAGAAACTTTTTAGTTTGATTTGCAGTCTCGTTTTTTTCTGCTTTTGTTTTCTTTGTCTTTAAAGAATCCTCTGAGATCAAGATCTTGGAGGGTCCTGCCTATGTTTTCCTTGATGTAGTTCTTTGGAGTCAGATTTGATATCATTTTCAATGACCTTTGAAAATCAAAGGTCATCTTAAATTGACCTTTATGTATGGTGTGATTTAGCATGGAGCTAACCAGCTGTCCCAGCACCATTTGTGCTCAGGTATCATTCCCAGCAGTGCTTAGGAGATCATATGGCATTGGGGATCAAATCTGGGGTCAATTGTAAGTCAGGTAAGTGCCTTAACCCCTATATTGTATCTTCAGATCTCGTATCATTATTAATCTTTATTTTATATATTTCCTCATTCCCCACTTCCTTCTAGGAAAATCCCACAGTTTCATATTCCAGGCTACAGCCTTTCACCTAATTTCTGTTCTGCTATTGTGCTCTTTCCTCTTACTATTCTAGTTTCAAATATTTATCTTTGACAATTTTCTGTAATGGCAAGGTGCTCTTATTTCATCCTGACAACGTCTCCATCCTTTAGAACATCTTAAAATTTATTTTATTTATTTATTTTTTGCTTATTTTGGGTTATGCCAGCAATACTCAGCGGTTCCTCCTGGCTCTGCACTCAGGAATTACTCCTGGAGGTGCTTGGGGGACCATCTGGGATGCTGGGTATTAAACCTGGGTTGAACCTGGGTCAGCTGTGTTCAAGGAAAATGCTCTCTACCTGTTGTACTATCACTCTGGCCCTTATATCCCCTATTTTAAAATAAAAAATTTTATGTTTATGAATAAGATATCTCACACCAGTGAGAATGATGTCTATATAAAAGACTGAAAATATCCAGTATTGGAATAGATGTGGTGAGAAGGAGAAGGAGCTCTTATTTACTGTTAGTAGGAATGCAATTTTGGTCAACCTCTGTGGAAAGCAATACAGAGATTTTTCAAAAAAATTAAGACTAGAACTCCCATGTAACTCAGATGCCACTTCTTGACATCTATCCTCCAAACACAAAATATTAATATGGAAGAGTTAATGCACACCTACGTTCATTGCCACACTTAGTACAATAGACAAGATATGAAAACAATTTGAATGTCCACAGACAGATGAATGGATAAAGAAGTTATGGTATATAAACACAAAAGGAGACTATGCAGCTGTAGGGAAAGATGAAATCATGCAATTTTCCACTACCAGAGCTGGAATTAAAGTATATCATGCTGAATGAAGTCAGTCAGAAGGAAAATGACAGATACAGAATGACTTATCTCAAAATTGGGGTATAAGGATAGGGAGCAAAGGAGTCACAGATGGCCAAAGGCAACAGAACTGGAGTGTTGGTCCACAGAACTGAACTTATCTGGTACCGGCCAAGGAATCGGTAGAGGGACCCAGGGAACAGAGGTGGAAGAAGCAGACACTGTGGTGCTTTGGGTGGTGCTGAAACAATGTTGACATGAAACTATTAGTAGCAATGTGAAACATGGTACCTTACTATAGTATTTCATGTTTATGTTAAATTCTTGGTCCGTATGTTCCAACATATTTGCTTCTGCTGGAATCTGCCAACAACTCTACTCTTTAGAATTTTTCTTACCAGACCCAGGGGAAGAGACTGTGGGTGGAGGAACCCTGGAGACTAGTCATTGTCTCATTTTTCTCAGCAGTCTCTGCTGAGCACCTTTCATAATAGGCTTCCCTGAGGGATACTAGTTCTGGTTTCTGAATCCTCTCATACGACAGGTCGTGTTTTCCAGGGCAGTGACACAAAAGCTGTATTCAGAACATAGAAGCCTTCTGCTCCACGTCACAACTCCCTGTTCCCCATATCTATGGGGACCTGTTCTCGGGTGATGTCTTTCTGGGTCTTCTATCTTGGCAGCTCCCCTTCTATAGTTTCTTTAAGTCGGGGACCTCGGATAAGACCCTAAGAGTAGCAGTAGCAACAGAAAAAGGAGGAGGGAGAAGGAGGAGTTGGAGAAAGAGGAGATCAGGTGTTAGAAAGAAAAGTTCAGAATTGTCATAGGTTTAGACTTAGGAACTTGAACGCTCTGTGTATTAATAAGCCTTCTAGATGATTCTAATGTGCACTAAGCACCAGTGGAGAATGATTAATGAGGGGGAAGTATGCCACAATCTGTACAGTCTACCTTTTCAATATGCCTGCGTTCCTTCTCTTCTTTATATTCCTACACTGGCTGACATAGTTCAGGCAGTATCACGTACCTGCCAATGTAGACCTGACTTCCTTTACCTTGCACTGTCCATCTGACACTGTATCCTGCAGTAGCAGCTTCTTAGTCTCCTCTGACGGATAAAATGTTTTGACTGTCCACACTCCATCTGGAGTGGTCGGTTTACTGTAAAACTTTGCTTTATGCAACTCCTTTATGAAATGCTCAATGACTGACTAAACCTGCCATCAACTTCTCTGTCTAGAATTCTATACACAAAATTTTCAACTGCATTTCACCCTTTGGTGACAGCCAACTATCCCAGACCTGGCACTTTGGGCAGGACCATCACAGGTCCCAAATGACTTCATTCTATCTTCATGTGATGAGACACTCTCCGCCCCATCCTTGTGAATGCTACCATTGAATTTCTCTTTCTTCTCCAGGAACTCCAGTAAATTGCTCCTTTCTGGTTTATTGCTCTTTGTAGGTTTTGCATACTCCATGACTCTGGAGAAACAGTGACTTTCTTATTCATAATTACTACCCACGGCAATGTCTACCTCATTATCTGTGCATAAAAGAGGCTCAGCATTCAATGAATGAAATCATTTCTTAAATGAATAAATGAGTGAATTCTTAATATCTTACCAATAGGAGTATGGAATTTAGAAGTAGACAAATATTAGTCTTTGACTACTTATAAAAAGCATATTTTTGCTAATAAATGCTGATTTATTTTCTAAGTATTACTGCAATATAAGTCAATTTGTATTAACTTTAGCTGTTATTAGTTAAAATTAATTGAACAGCAAACTGAGAGCTTCAACTGCTCTCCAGGGTCTCTGAACACTTGTACATAATTAAAAATATACTTTAATTAAAAATCTAAAAATGGAAACAAGCCCAGTCCTGGACAAGCAGCTCCCACAGGGCTGGATTAGCCTGTTTGGATTCTCTTTGCTTATAAGCACATCATTTCTTCAACAGTCACACACTAACAGCATCATTTCACACTACCTCACATTCCCATACCATTGCTCTGAAATATCCAGCTCAATTTTTTTCTCTTTACTTATTTGCAGATTATTTACATTGACTGGGGATCTTTTGGATAACTCAAAAGAATTGCAAGACAACCAATTTTATGTTGCTGCAGGACTGGATTCCTTCAAACATTTTTCTTATTGGAAGTCCCCAAAGGTTCCTAAAGAGGTCCAAGAGTGAGCATATTTTATGCTTTTCCTTTCTGTGCTGTAAAATTTGCAAACTCTGCCCCTCTTCCCATTTCTGGCTGCTTCCCAAATAGCCAGCTCAGCTATCTTTTTTTCCCTCCCTCCTGGAGGTATGGGGGTGTGGAGGGTATTGGGGCACATCTAGAAATACTCAGGGCTGTCCCTCGCTTATCTAAATTCAGGAGGATTCTCTGGCTGTGCTCAGGGAACCATACTTTTGCTGAGGATTTGAAACAGAATTGGTGGGAGGCCATGCAAGTGCTTTAACTCCTGTACTATTTGGTTCTATTTTTTTTTAAAGTCAGTTTATCTTTGGTACTATTTTTTTTTAAAAAAATCGGTTTATCTTTTGCTCTTGGTTTTGTTCATATCATGCAGTTTAGATTTTTTAAATGGAGAAACTGCTATTGTTGAATATATTCACAGGAACAGTGGGCTTTTCTCTGAGTACAATGGGAATTTTCCAGGTCCAAAATCTAAATGTGAAAAATAGTTGCCAAACTGGCCATAGGATATGGTGAGAAGAGCACTAGGTTTTCTTAACTGAACTTGTTTTCTCTTATTCAAAATGCAAAAGTTTCTGAGTGTTGGCTGTCTCTCCAGTGGAAAGAGCAATGATGTTTGTGGTAGATTCTAGACGTGGCTGATAGTTGTGTTTGTTTATGGGCCAGAAGGATGGTGAAGACATTGGGTGGTTCTCTTTTCTGTTGATTGGAGAGATCAATGTGACATGACTTCTCAGAACTGGGTGCTCATTCTATTCCCTTCTAGAACAAGCCAGATAAACACTGTAATGGAGCTCATAACTTAAGCGCTTTTTTTACTTGAATAACTGTGAGATACAGTTAAGAAACTTTCATGTTTGAGTTTCAGTTATACAATGATCAAACACCCATCCCTCCACCACTGCACATTATCCATCACCAATGTTCCCAGTATTACCACCACCCCCTTTTCCAGCCCCACCCCCCGCCTATATGGCAAACAATTTCCCCCAATCTCTCTACTTTGGAACATCATGGTTTGTAATATAGATACTGAGAGGTTATCACGTTTGGTCCTTTATCAACTTTCAGCACACATCTCCCATCCCAAACAATTCCTCCAACCATCATTGACTTAGTAATCCCTTCTCTTTTCCATCTGCCTTCTTCCCCAGCTCATGAGACAGGCTTCCAACTATGGAGCAATATTCCTGGCCCTTGTGTCTACTGTTCTTGGGTGTGAGTCACATATTATGTTATTTTATATTCCCCAAATGTGTGCAGTCTTTTTATGTCTGTCTCTATTTCTGACTCATTTCACTTATCATGATACCTTCATGTCCATCCACTTATAAGCAAATTTCATGACTTCATCTTTCCTAACAGCTGCATAATATTCCATTGTGTAGATATACCAAAGTTTCTTTAACCAGTTGTCTATTCTTGGGCACTTGGGTTGCTCCCAGATTCCAGCTATTATGAACAGTGTTGCAGTGAACATACAGGTGCATATGTCATTTCTACTGTGCTTTTTTGGACCTTTGGGATATATTCCCAGAAGTGGTATTGCAGGGTCATATGGAAGCTCAATATCTAGTTTTTGGAGGAATATCCCTGTTGTTTTCCAAAAAGGCTGGACCAGTCAGCATTCTCACCAACAGTGAAAGAGCCTCCCTTTCTCCCCACATCCAATAACTAATGTTCTAAGTAGCTAAGTAATTAATGTTCAGTGCTCTTTCCTGGATACTTGTCCTAGTGCCAGTCACTGGCTTTATACCAAGGTAGAAGATCTCAGGTTTGGAGCTCTGCCTGGCTTATCTAGTTTATTTTTCAAACTCAAATTTTATTGGTTTAACATAGTTTCACAATTGCCTCCTCAGCTTTGTGCAATTAGACGCTTTGGACTCCATAACTCTCCGTGGAGGACTCCACCTCATTTCCATGGTCCTTGAATGACATGATGAGATGGTCTGCTTTATGTTCTTAGATAGAATTACATGTGATGGGAGCTGAAGTGATAGTATAACAGATACGATTTTTGCATTGCATGTGGTGACCTGGGTTCAATCTCTGACACTCCATCTAGTTCCCTAAGCACCGCCAGGAGTGATTCCTAAGTACAGAGCCAGGAGTAAGACTTAGCACTGTTGGGTGTGGCCCCCAAGCAAAGCAATTTACATGTGATGATTCCTTTAACAGTTTTCAGTCTCCCAGTCTCCCTTGCTTCCTAGGTTATGTTTTTGTGTAAATATCAACATTCCCTATTTTGATAGTCTGAAAAAAATTTTGAAAATTACCTAAAAAATTATTCTGCCAGTCAGATGATGAATCTTTTTAGTCGACATCTTCAGAGACCATGGGTTCTGAGTGTTGGGGCTGGACCTGTCTCAGTTGTAACTTAGTAGGGAGGCTGATCCATCAGATTGAAGGTAAAAAGGGTTCAGACTGATCCAGGCCCTAATTTTCTTTATGCCAAATGAAATCCATGACATTAGAGTAGAGGTGAGTTTGTGCTTAAGATCAGCTAAGCAGATAGATGTGGTGCTTGGGATGACTAGCAGGCAGTCCTCAGGCATGCGTCTTTGGGCTTGCTTGTCCATGAGAACCTCAGTTACATAGGGATTTTGTTATCCCACAGTACTCTTTCTCTTCTCTCTGAAAGGTAGGCTGCTGTTTCAGTGTGACCATACCAGGCCTGCCTTGGAATCTCAGACACATGAAGAACCCTCAGTATATTCCATGTATTCCTTTCATGAGATTGTTTTTAACTTGAGAACCAAATCCCAACACCTATAATAGTGAAGACATTCTCTATGCCCAGATATTGCTGTGAAGAGCAGCTTCCTAAGGCCTGTCTGTGAAATATGGCATCCCAGACTGATTAGCCTCATTGCCTAGTGCTCGAAGTATTGTGCCTGAGTTTCAGATCCTCAATTGCGGAGAGACCAAGTCCACACATGATAATCCAGAAAAAAAGGAACTTTATTACTAGCCCGAGACAGTGCTAGCCCGAGCTAAGGTCCAAGTCTCATCCAACACAGTGGAGTCTTGACAAGGTCCCTGACTCCAAAACACAAGCAATTTATATAGGGTTCAGAATTAAGAGGCAATTTGTATACTGGTCTATTTTTAGCATCGGCCCTATTACAATGGTAGTCAGCAATTAGGCAATGGCTAGTAACAGTTTCTAAGGAGGGTACAGTGACCCTTCATGACCAGCCAGACTCAACTGCCCAATTTCTTATCTTGCAAATTGCTCAACTAGGAGTTTACCAGAAACTACAAGTCCTGCTCTGGGGAAACAGAAACTGAGGTCTAGCTGAGACTTAATGTTGGCTGCAGCTTGTCATGGCATCAGTTTTGCCCTCATAGAACTACAGTGAATGCTAAGAATTATCTGAGAATTTGCTAGGAACCTTCCCTATAGTTCTCTGTCAGGAAGGTTTCTATGGTTGAGCAAAGAAAAGGAGGTGTCATTTTCATCTCATTGCAGAACAAGTGTTTTGTGCAGCTTGTGTTTTAGAAATATGTGCACATGTGGGCTCCACCTGGCCCCTTCATTTTGTGTTTCTTTGCACAGTTTTGAGTACATCTGGGGAACTTGAAGCTCCAGGGAAACTGTCTATGCTGCACCTTGTGCCTTTCCCAGTTCTGTTAGGATTCTTTATTCAAGGCAGAGAAAGGATTGAGAGACGCATGAGTCATAGAGGTTTGATATCCAGAAGCTGCTTAGATGGATAGGTTAGAGTCCTGTTTGGCAGACATAGATATTACCTGATTTTTATTTTACATTAAAATATTTTATGTTCTTGGGGCACACCTAGCAATGCTCAGTGCCATACTTCTGGCTACCCAAGAATAACTCCTGGTGGTTCTCGAGGGACCATATGGGGTGCTGGGGATTAAACCTGAATTGGCAGCATGCAAGGCAAACACCATACCTGCTGTACTATCTCTCCAATTGATTCTAGAGACTTGATTTATTGCTGACTTGCCTAGTAGAGAGGTGGCAAAAATGCAGTTGGATTGTTGAACTGAGTTGGAGATTTATCTTTAGTCCTGCATCCCCTGATCCTCTCTGTGTTCCATTTCAGGGTCATTTTCACTTTCCCATCATCTATTCATGTTTTGAAGCTTGAACTGAGACTATGGGTTGTTGACATATCTTTCCCCCTCATCAGAGAAGTTGGGAAGGTTGGAAGCCTGCCTCATAAGCTGGGGAGAAGCAGCTGGGATAGAGAAGGGATCACTAAGTCAATAATGGCTGTAGGGATCACTTGGGTGGGAGATGTGTGCTGAAAGTAGATAAAGGAACAAACATGATGGCCTCTTAGTATCTATTGCAAACCATAATGCCCCAAAGTAGAGAGAAAGAGGGAAATTATCTGCCATAGGGGCAGAGGGAGGGGGTGTGGGGGAAGAGGGATACTGGGGACATTGGTGGTGGAAAATGTACACTGGTGAAGTGTACATACATTGTATGACTTCGAACATGAAAGCTTTATAACTGTATCTCATGATGATTTAATAAAAAAGAAAATTTATATTAGAAAAAGAGAAGTTGGGAATTTAATGAAGAAAGTCCACCAAGTACACCACATACAGAGTAGACCAAGAAGGTGCTTCCCCTCGAGAGAATCATGTGGGAGCAGTATTTCCAAACATGACAGCAGTTATTGGATTTAGTCTGGATAGAGAAGAGTTGGAAGTGAGATGTGTGCATTTATACTCTCACTGGTCCTAGAAAGTAAAGGTGGCAGTTGGAAGAAGGTGCTGTAATATAGGAGAAGAGGATGGGTATGGTTTTGGATTGGATTTTAATCTAAGTTCTTCAACCCTTGAAGTAAAAGTCTTTGACCCTTGAGTAAAAGTCTCTTAGGCTCTTGCCAGCTCAGTGACAGCAGTAATACTTGCTCCATTATCTTGGAAGAGTTCATGAGGAAGCCATGTTGGATAACACCATGAGTCAACGATTAAAAACTTAGAAGATGTTAGGTTACTCTTCTATGGTCATGAAATATCCTCAGGACAGAGGTGCTGTCAAATGTACCAGTGGGTCAGGTCACTTGCCTGTTTAAAGAAAACTCTCTGTACTTTCACAAATATCAGATAAGGAAATTGAGCAGGACACTTTGGGGACTTTTGCACTCCTGAGACTGGAAATCCTTACTGATATAACTGTTCTGTATCCTGTATGGGACTGGATGCACTTTCATCTCCTGGCCAGTATATCTGAAAACCAGGACTTCAGTTCCTCAGTTTATTTTGGGGATTTTGGGTCCAGTTCTGTGACCAGGAGTGACCCCTGGCAGTGTTCAGGGGGTCACACACAGCGGTGGGCATCAAATTGGGGTCAGCTGCCCACAAAACAAGTGTCTTAATCCTCTATACTATTTATACAGACCTCATAGTTTATATTTTCATAAAGTTGCTTTCACTGAGCTTTAAACTCTTTAAATTGACTAGCTCTTATTTTGCAGAGAGTATGCAGACATCTATAAACATCGAAGAAAGAAGAAGGTAAGTACTTAAAAAATGGAAAGGAGACACAATAGACTGCTTTCTGGCATTAATATCATCTATGAGGGGGCAGTGGTGTAGATAAGAGCTCTGGTTACAGTGAGTTCAGATTTCTCTTGATTCTGTGGATTACTTGGGTGGGTCTTCAGTTAGTCTCTACTGGGTTTCTCAGGAGGCTACATTCAGCCAGAGTGTTTTGGGCTGGAATGTCTGTGCTGGCCTTTCTTACACATTAGGGAGTAGTGAAGGTAATGTGGTGGTTATAGGGTTGTCAGAAGCAGGAATAGACTATCAAATGGAAGACATTTCTGCCGTGTAGGGAAAGCCATTGTGCATTAAGAGCGAGCTTTCTGGACTCACACCTTTTTGATTTCGAATCCTGTTTGAACTCAACCGACATGTGATTTGATGTTACTGACCTCTCTGGACCTCAGTTAATTAAACTGGTTCTTTCTCCCTAGTACTTTCAATTTTTCCTCTCTAGGATTTCTGTCATTGAACTTCAAGGACATGAAGTTCAATTAAGTTTATTATAGGTACATGTCCAGAGTCTTTGAAAAATGGGAGGACAAAGCTATTTGCTTCTAACATCTAGTTTTCCATTGAATGGAATGAAAGATTTTATCTTAATTTACTATAACTTGAAGTTGTACTTAAAAATGCCAGTTCCCTAATAGAACGTCAATGAAGCAATATTAGTGCATTTTTGCTGATTAAAATAATTAGAATATACCTAGAAAACAGATATTATTTGTTTGATTCTTGTATTTGAACACAGGAAGATAAGTAGGACTTATATGACTATATGGCACAATTAACTTAAAGTATGATTGTTTTTCTCTTTTCTTTTTTGGTGGGTGGGGGGACACATATAGCACTCAGGGGTTAGTCCTGGACAATTTTCAGTGGTCACTTGTGGTGGTGATTGAGGAACTATGCAGACCCAAGGATCAAACCTGGGTTTCTGGCAAGCAAAACGTGATTTCTAGCCTATTGAGCTACTTCCCTGGGCCTCACCAATGATTTATTTTTGTCCAATGAGAGTAATCGAATAAAGCAAACTTCTTATTTTATTAGATAAAATTCAGTTTTGCAGAAACTGCATTTGCAGTGATTTTATATCTATTACCTTCCAAAGAAGTAAAATTAATCAAATAAATGCTTGAAGTTACATTCATATGCTAAAATAAATAATTTAGGGTGGAAGTTTCTAAAAATATAAAAATGGTTAATATAAACGGTCTATAACATACATAATCAGAGCATTAATATTTTATCTTTTGTTCACAGAGCATACATGTTGGAGAAAAAACATTGGTAAGTTAGAGGTATGTGTCTATATGCACACTCACATGTATGTGAAAACAACCAGAGACGCATACAACATAAAGCGCACACTTTAGCAATCAGGTATAAGCTGTAAAGTTCAATGTGAAATGAATTCTTTGAAACTGACATTTTCAGAACAGTTTGTTGAGACCAGAGCAATAATATCAAAGCCAGAGGAATATCACAGGGTAATCAGGACACATTGATGATCTAGCAGTTGAAGATGCAGTGGTTACATCCAAATGGTAGCAAATCTTGCATTTTAATAACCCTCAAAGCATAGAATGGGTTGTTAATTTTCAACCTGAGGATGGATTAACTCTGAAATCAGTTGTTACTGTTCTTCAATTAGACAAACTGTCTGCTTCATCCAGGTTCCTTGGGGAGGCTGCCTTTCATGCGTCTGGGCAAGAGAATCTGTAAAATATAGCTACACTGATGGAAGCAGTCTCTGTAGAAATATAATTGATATTAAAGAGCTACAGAACAGTAAACTCAATACACCACAGGTCTCTTTTCTGAAAATGTGAAGGGCTGTCACATTTGTATGTAGAGCTCTCATTGATTTCAGAGGCCTGAGGCTTAGGGACAGGAAGATATAGGGATAAAAGGTTAGAGCTTATAAAGTTGCATTGCATGTAAAAGCAATGCATTCTCTGTTCTTTTCTTCATTTGCTGTTTCCTGTGAAATGCTATAAATCCACATTATACTGATAATGGAAGGGCGTCCAGGCTGCCCATTATGCTGGGAATATGGCATGGAAAGACGAAGGCATCTAATGACCAGAGAGAAGCTGTCTTGGAGGCCTTCAAAATCGAGCTGGTCTTTTGTCATTTCCAAACTCCTGGGAAAGTCTCTCCTTGATTCTCCCTGGATATAATTCCCCGACTGCTTTTTATAGCTCAGGTTTCAAATCCTTTCTACCCTTCCTCTAGAGGATATTGGACAATGTGACCTAGTGATATGTCTAACAGCTGTTAGAGAGGTGGGATGAAACTCAGCATTTGCATACCTCATGCATGCAAGGCATTTAGAAGGATTCTCTAATGCACATTTGATTTGTTCTATCTGTGCAAGACTGTTTGCCTTCCCTGACAAAAGTATGGTACTCTCCATACCTAGGCCAATTTCAGTTCCTGTCACACGTGTTTGCTTGGTCCATGTCCTAGATGTGGGTCCACTCATACTAGGAGTTTAATTATATTCAGTGCATATAATTGCACCGATTAGGAAAGTGTAGTCACACTAAGTGCATATAGTCACACTCACTAGGAATATGGGTATATTCATATACTTCCTAAAATTCTGTTTTTTTTCCCCACAGAGGTTTTACAACTTTCTATTAGCTATATAATTATGTAAATACTTTATTTCTGTTCATAGTTTTTCCAAGCATATATTATAATTTTCTTTTTAAATCATTTAGCTTAACCACTTTGAAATGAGTCATTGACTGTAGGATAACACTGTTTTGTCCTTCCTGCATAGCCTCAGGTAGTTTAGGTTTATTGGGTTGCTCCCATCACAGTGCTCCCATTCCTCCTTGTTTATTTGTAACTTCTTTCTTTGTGCTGTGTTGACTTGTAAATATTGTTTTTTCTCTTCTCCCTAAGTCCTTTGCATAGTTTATTCAGAGCAGTGTCCCTTTTGTATGGACAAAAGAAGACATGATTTAGTAATGTGACTCTCAGTGATATTTTCTTCCTGGGCATCTGTTCTCTCACCTAAGCCTCAGCTGCCTTTAATTCCTAGTGCCCCCCAAAGCAGGGTCCTGACGAGGGACTGGATGGAACCAGGGTAAGCGGTAAGCTATGTGCTACCCTGGCATCGAGATGGGTCTGACCAAAGTGCCATAATGCTTAACTGTAAGTTAAGAGCTTGGGCATGGACAAATGCTGTCATGATCCAAAAGGTAATAGCTAGGTTTGGACCCTGCTAGGGTTTGGAATGATTAATCTGGCCTGAGCGCTGTAGTCTGAGTCTGTGGCAAGATGTTCCCAGGAGAGCTGCCCTACAAGCCTCAATGTGATCTCTTACTGTGTCCATACAAAAATAGCTAGTATTGATATGTTGATAGTTATTGGACTGAGGAAAGGAGAAAAACACCTTTGGAGGTATTTTGCTCTTGGGTGGTCAGGAAGGGCTTTGGAATGCCTTTTAGGTGGTGTTCCCTTTGAACTTGGTGGGCCCTCAGGAAGGGCTTTCTTTTTTCTTTTTTTTAAAATTTATTTATTTATTGAATCACCGTGGGAAAGGTTACAAAGCTTTCAGGTTTAGGTCTCAGTCATGCAAATATCAAACACATTTCCTTTTACCAATACTTATTTTTTACCATGAAGAACCCCAATAAAACCCCACCCCCCACCCCTCCCAGTCCCTGTGGGGCAGATGAATCCTAGTTAACACTCTATCTGCTTTGATTAGATTCATTGTTTCAATAAAAGATTCACCACTATTATTTAGAGTTTACCCCCCCCCCCCCCCCGCCAAATCAGACATGCTGAAAAAGCATTGTGAAGTGATTTGCTTTCTACAGCTGTGTTCAAGAATTAAATGTTGGTTTTGGATTTCTGCTATTTTACTTATTGACCCTGGAAGTATTTCTACTGAAAGTCAGATAGTTAAGAAATTGGTTTCTGTGCTCTGGAGTCGTGGCCGTGCTGGAGAGCCACTAGTGGGGGGCAACTGGTGGCCTCGGTAGGGCGTGAAGGGCAGACCGAAACGCCCCCCTTCCCATGAGGTTTTAGTTGCCGGGTTCTGCACTATGTCCTTGTGCTTCTGGGGCTGTGGCCGTTCTGGAGAGCAGCTCGCGGGGGGGGGGGGGGGGGGGGGGGGGGGGAGGGGTGGGCAACTGGTGACGTCGGTAGGGCGTGAAGGACAGACCGGAACGCCCCCAGGAAGGGCTTTCTTATGTTGATTTTGCTACCTGACTGGGTGCAGTGTCAGCCCAGAGTGGAGGGGAGTTGGAAACAAGAGAGCTGGAGAGAGAGGAGAGAGCAGGGCCGCAAGATGGACCACGAGAGGCAAGCAAGGGGGACAGAGAAGAATGTAGAAGAATACAAAAGCAGGCACATGGAGAGAGAGAGAGAGAGAGAGAGAGAGAGAGAGAGAGAGAGAGAGAGAGAGAGAGCCCAAGCTGTGAGATGGAGCGCAGAGTGATGAGTGGGAGAGACAGAAGGAGATGGGAATGAGGAGCTGTGTGAGACCAGAATAGGAGGCTCAGAGAGACTGGGGCAGGTGCGTGGGGAGAATAAAATAAATCTGATCAATTTATTGATCTGATCAATCAACCAGCTTGGTCCTCACTTCCTCCACTATTTGCCCCATGGCCCAGGCTGCCCTGGCTGTAGGAGTGGCCTGAGCTCACCCCAAACACGGGTGGCTAGGGGGAGAGCCGGGTGGCTAGGGGGAGAGCCGTCAGGGCCCTCCTGGCAGCCCTCAAAGATTTTTCACAATTGACAACTTAACAAAATGTAATTAGGTCAAGATTTCTGCAGGAATTAAGATTTCTGCAGGAATTAAGATCAGATGCTGGGGCATGGCATCGGTACAGACCTGAACATTTGCAAGTCCTAGAGTGGTGTCAGGTGAAGGATCAAGGGGCATTCTCCTTTGGGGGAAAACTGTAAAGCACTGCCTGTTGAGCCATGACATAATGCTAGGACAGTTTCCTGGGGCCTCCAATCATGATCCATACACACCACCAGAGAAGGGGGTGCTCACTAGCCTCCAGCTCTGATAGTCAAGAGGGATTGTGAACATGTAGGATCCCACGACCTTTGTAACCTGTATCTCATTGTGCAGAAACAACACACAAACCCAACTTCAAATTATTTCTTCCAAGCAAAAGAAAATAGAATGGAATCATAAAAATGCCAAAGGTAGGAAAGACAAAGGAAGACTGAGGAGTAGTTCAGGTTATAGAACACTAAAAAGGCAGGACATGATCCTGGACCAGGTCTTTACTTTCTAGGGAAAGATGCTGTGAAAGGTCTTATTGGATAGTGACAGAACTGGAATATGGATGATAGAATAAATGAAAATATCATATTAAAGAGTATTGTTGTGTAGAAAACACATCTCACATATTGGCCATGTGTCTTCAGTAGTAAGAACTAAAGTATTAATTTTTCAAATTTGCCAGCTATGCCTGGAAGTACTTAGGATTTACTCTGAGTCTGTGTTCAGGAATTACTCCTTGCTGTGCTAAGAAGACCATATATGGTGCTGGGGGTAGAATTGGGCCCGGGCAAGGCAAGACCTTAACTTTTAAGTTCTGAGGTATTTAGATGTTAAGATGACCAGTGTATGCAGCCTATATCCAAATAGTTTAGAGAAAGGGTCTCTCTGTAAACATATATGTTCATTTGTATATGCATATGTGTGCTTGTGTATGTGCATATTTATTGGTATGTATGCACCTGTGTGCTTGTGTGCATATGTTTGTATAATGCAACTGTTCCTAGCAACTGCTCCCGTTGTCCAGAGAACAAGCTTTGAACTTTTATTTCTTTTACTACTTTTATTTTAAAACATAGTTTATTGGGGCTGGAGCGATAGCACAGTGGGTAGGGTGTTTGCCTTGCACGCAGCCAACATGGGTGACCTGGGTTCGATTCCCAGCATCCCATATGGTCCCCTGAGCACCTCCAGGAGTAATTCCTGAGTGCATGATCCAGGAGTCACCCCTGAGCATCGCCAAGTGTGACCCAAAAAACAAAACAAAAAACCCAACATAGTTTATTAATGGTGTGGATATGGTCGATGGTGCTGAATCCTTTGCAGAACCCGGTTTGCTCGCATAGTTGTCCTTCATCTAGTGTTCTGCCAATCCTATTTAGGATGACTCGAGTGAACAACTTGTAGATGACAGACAATAGGCAGATCGGGCGACAGTTGCCAGTGTCATGGATGTCTCCCTTCTTGGACAGTAGTACGGTCCTGCTAGTTTTCCACTGGGACGGAAACTTGCATTCAGACAGGTAGCGTGTAAAGAGCCGAGCCAGTGTATTGATGAGTACTGACGGCAGGTTCTTCAGGTGTTCAGGTCTGACCTTGTCTGGGCCGGATGCTGTTCGTTTCTTTACTGACGAAATGGCGTGTCAGATTTCAGAAGGGAGAATGTTGGGAACGACATATCCATCCTGTGGAATTTGGTATGTCGGCAAGTGGACATGGCTATCGAAGAGATTTGAGTAGAAGTCATGGATAATCTTCTCCATTGCCGTTCTGGAGGATGTGATGGATCCATCAGGACGTCGGAGGGCAGTCATCTTGGTCTTGTAGTTGGCGAAGGACAGACGGGCATTACGAATACTTTTCCCAGCTTCTGCTGCATCTACCAGCACTTCTGCTCTTTTCTCTTTGAGGTCTTCCTTGATCGCATCTCTGCACTGCTTTGCGAGCTCGGACGTTAGCTTGTGGTTGCCTGAGGCATGCGCCAAACCACGCTGGCGAATAAGCTCAAGAGTTTTCGAAGACAGGCGTTTTTTTGTGGCTATCTCTCTCTTGGTGTTCCTCGCACATTCATGGAGGTGCTGTACCAGTCGATCGTATTCACACGATAACCAAGCTCATTGAGGTTTCTCGGGAGTTCAAGATGCCGCTCTGTTTAACGTTCATTGATTTAAAGAAGGCCTTTGATTCTGTTGAGATGGAAGCGGTCATTGAAGCCCTAGCCAATCAGGGTATTCAAGCCCAATACATCAAGATCCTCCGTGAGCTGTATTGCTGTATTGCGGATTCACTACCAGGATCTCACCATTCTACAAAGAAGTAATCACTGGTTTCAAGAGAGGGGTTCGGCAGGGTGATACCATTTCACGGAAACTCTTCAGTGCCACCCTCGAGAACATCATGCGACGACTGGAATGGGAAGGAATGGGAGTGAAGATAGATGGTCAGCAACTATACCACCTCCGCTATGCTGATGACATTGTTTTAATAACACCAAACATCAGCCAAGTGGCACAAATGCTGGCCGACTTTGACTGTGAGTGTGGAAAGGTAGGACTACAGCTGAATCTTACGAAGACAATGTTTATGAGAAACAGCCTCGTTCCTGACGCCCCATTTGCTCTCAACGGAATGACCATCTCCGAATGCAATAGCTATATGTACCTAGGTCGAGAAGTCAACATGACAAATGACCTGGCACCCGAGCTGCACAGGAGGAAGAGAGCGGCTTGGAACACTTTCAAGAACGTCGAAGAAATAACTAAGAGGACGAAGAACCTCCGGCTCCAGGCATATCTCTTTGATTCCACTGTTCTTCCTGCATTAGCATATGCCTCAGAGACCTGGGCCCTACACAAACAGGATGAGAATGCTATTCGGGTCTCCCAAAGAGGAATTGAAAGAGCTATGCTTGGAATATCACATTTCACTCAAATGAGAGAAAGAATCCGGAGTTCCGACATCCGTTGACAATCCAGAATCAGGGACGCTGTCTCGTTTGCCAAGGTGTCAAAAATCAGATGGGCTGGTCACGTAATGAGATTTAAAGACGACTGCTGGACTAGAGCTGTTACTGACTGGATTCCACGTGATGTCAAAAGGCCGCGTGGCCGCCCTCCTACCAGATGGTCAGACTTCTTCATCAAGATCATGAATGATTGGTTTGAGGCTCTTCATGTTCCCAGAGCGAACAGATGCCATTGGGCTACACTAGCACACGACAGGGATAAATGGAGACGTTACTGGCGTCCGCTCGAGCAAATGGATGACTAATGGGAAGTTAAGTGATTAAGTGATTAAGTTTATTAAATCAGTAAAGATGTTCATCATTATGATTATCTAATTTTACGTAGACACATATCAGTACTTCACTATTTATATCACTCATGCAGAAATGGTAAGTTAGGATCATATTAAGAATAAGTTTATCTTATACTATGAGTTACTAATGCTTAAATATTGTTGTCTATATACATTTTTGAGTAACATATTCCTCTTTATGAACCCCAATTAACCTGTCAACATGTACTGCTTAATCAGAAATCCATTTATATGGCTTAGAAGTTCCAATTAGAGGTTCCAGTTGTAGTTGTTGGCAGAGCTGTGGTTTTCATTGGATTTTCAGGAGTGCCTCTAAAACCACATGAATTATCTTTGACTGAACTTCTTGCTGCCTTTGTGATGACTGTCCTGTTTTGTCGGGCATTCACCATCACCATCTGCATTTCTTTTCCTAGAAAACTACCTTACCTCTCTCCTGGGGAGACATGAATTGTGATGTCCTTAGGAGGAAAGGAGAGAAGGATTATTTTGCCACCTTACAGAAGAGAAGTGTAAGGATAGAATAGCCAGATTGTAGAGTAGAATGGAATAGAGTAGCGTAGGATAGCATAGAATCAGGGAGAATAGAGTAAGATAGTAGAATAGCACAAGGAGAGATACATAGAGTAGAACAGAGTATTGTAACACAGAAACAGATTGAGATAGAGCAGAGTACAGTAGCATAAAGTGGAGTACACATAGTGGTGTGTGATAGATTGAAGAATTGTTGAATTTGTGCCAAGTGGGCATTGTCTTTAAAGGTTCCCATTCCCACCATTTGGCCTAAGAAGCCAAGTGCTTTCCTGGTCATTCTTAATGAACTGATAAAATTCACTGAAGCTTTTAACATTTTTATTCTTAACTCATGCCTTAGGAGGAGAATAAAGAAAAAGAAGCTCATAAACTGGACAAAATTACCTCTAAAGCACATGGTTCTGTTTACTATGCCAAAGAAACAAATAAGAGAACACAGATACAACCTTTACTCAAAAGTGCTAAAGGTAATGTGAAGTTTTATTTAGTTGCAACCAATAAAAAAGATACTGTGTTAAGAATTAGTTCTTTTCATACCAGTTTCATTTCATAATGTATGTCTTATGCTTATGCAGTCTTGGTTTTCAGTGATCTAATTTACAAATACAATACTTTGTTTACTGAGCTGTGAAAAAGAGTTGGAAAACAAATTCAAGTATGAAAGGTAATTTGATTCCCTAATTAGGAAGTTTTCTTTAACATAAGTGTAGTATTAGAAAGTAATTATGACATCTCTATATATTAGGTACTGATATATTTCTCCTAAATGACAAATGACAAGAAACAACATACAATTTAATGTTTTGAGGGAAACATAAAAATAGAAGCCATTGGAATAATTTGCTTTTTCAATGTGAATCATTAAAAAGATTAAATACATAAATTATTTTAAAATACAATTTAAAATATTTATTGCTTATGCCCATTTACTTTACTATTACAATTACATCTTTTTATATATAATTTTATTTATTGAATCACTGTGAGAGCAGTTACAAAGCTTTCGGGATTAAGTCTCAGTCATACCATGAAATACCCATACCTTCACCAGTGCCCATTCTCCACCCCTAAAAACCCCAGTATACCCCTATCCCACACCCTCCCCCTACCTGTGGGGCAGTTGATTTCCATATTACTCTCTCTCTACTTTGATTACATTCAATATTTTGACACCAGACCCACCATTATTATTTGAAATTTTACCCCAACACTCAGATCTGCTGAAAAGGCAACAGTAGACAATTTGTTTTCTATTGGTTATGAATAACATATGATGTCGTGCAGTTGCAGTAGTGTCTGCACAAGTTTGAAATTCCGTATTTTAACAATTAAATCTGGAGGGATTTCTGCCAAAACCTGCTGGGTTTCGAGTTTTGTTCTTGAGTCTCTTGGATCATGGCCGTTAAGCAGCTTGATCAAGAGCCAGAAAGGCTGTTCATGGGTGGTGACTCAGGGTCTCATTGGAGGAAAGGGCAGCTCCACCCCCATCCCGTGAGACCCCATGTGTCTCATCACTGCGGTCCCAAACCTAACTGTCCAGTGGCCTCTAGAGGATGGCGGCCACTGGGCCGCCAGGGGGAACAGGCCAAGGCACAAAACCTATTCCCACCTGGGGTGGCCCAGCACCAGTAACCTACTGCAGGGACTGGATGTATTTCTGCCAAAAGCCGCTGGGTTCCACAATTTGTTTCTGAGTCTCTGAGATCAAGGCCATTAAATGGCTTGTCAGGAGCCAGAGAGGCCGTTTGTTGCTGGCAACTCGAGATCTCGTTGGGGTGTGGGGGGGAAGGGCCGGCTCCACACCCATCCCGTGAGGCCCCATGTGTCTTGTTACTGTGGGCCCAAACCTGACTGTCCAATGGCCTCTGAGCCACCAAGGAGGAGCAGGTGGGAGGGACAGCACCCTTTCCCCCCTGGGGTGGCCTGGTGACAGTAACCTACTGTGCGATCCGGACGCATTTCTGCCAAAAGCCACTGGGTTTTGAGATTTGTTTCTGAGTCTCTGGGATCATGGCCATTAAGCAGCTTGATTAGGAGCCAGAGAGGCCATTCATGAGTGGTGACTCAAGGTCTCTTTGGGACGGGGAGGAAAGGGCAAGCTCCACCCCCATCTCGTCACTGTGGGTCCAAACCTGACTGTCCAATGACCTCTGGAGGATGGTGGCCACTGGGCCACTAGGTGGAACAGGCCAAGACACGACACTTATTCCCACCTCGGGTGGCCTGACGCTGGTAACCTACTGCAGGAACTGGATGCATTTCTGCCAAAAGTCTTTGGGTTTCGAGATTTGTTTCTAAGTCTCTGGGATCATGGCCGTTAAGTTAAGCAGTTTGATCAGGAACCAGAGAGGCCACGCCTCCAAGTATATAGCTGAGCCGAAGGTGGTTTGTGGGTGTGTCTCCCACATACCTAACTTTTGTCAGTTTACTTTCTCTGTAAACTTTGCCCCAAGTCTTTGGGGCAAGCTACCGAGAGTATTCGATATGCCAGACACAGTAACAACAAAGTCTCCAATGGAGACGTTACTGGGCCCGCTCAAGCAAATCGACGATCAACGGGAGGGCCAAAGGCACAGAGCAATTTTTTGGTATCTGGAAGTTTGAAGGTGCCATCAGACTGCTGATGCACTTGCCTCACAGGTACAGATTGACCTGCTGGTGGCACCATACTCCTTGTTACAATTACATCTGATGCTACCATTAACATTATTGCTGCACCTACTGTTACTGTTACTAATATTACTATTAGTAAGGAGAGGCTGCTGAAGTCTCAGTGTTCAGACGAATGGAGACATTCCTGGTGCTCGCTTGAGTAAATTGATGAGCAACAGGACAACAGTGATAAAGTGATACAGTAAATGTTACTATTGCTATTGATACTGCCAATCTCACTATTACAGCTACCATCACTACTGTATTACTGCTATAGCCACTACTATCAAAGCTACTGCTATCAAACTCTTACTGCTATTGTTGCAATACCCAATACTGTGGGTATTGCTACTATTATAGATACTACTGCCATTGTTAGTACTGCGCTGCTATTACTACTGTTACTAGTACTATTATTGCTACTGCTGATGCTACTATTTATGCTATTGAAACTATTACTGCTATTATTATTGCTACTATCATTTCTATGATTTCTATGATTACTGATACTACTACTAACACCATTACATTTTATTGAGTTCTTAATGGGTGCCAGGGTCTGGACGAGACACCTTCTGTGTGTTATATTTTATTATATACATGATAGAAACTTAAGAATATAATTCTTTTGGTAAATTATGAAAGAAATCTGGTGGATAAGAGAGACTATCTCTTACTACTCTGCTACATCTATTGTATCACTTGTCATCCCATTGCTTATTGATTTGCTCGAGCAGGCGCCAGTAACACCAGTAACCAGAGATGAAGGCAGGTGCGTGTTTGTCAGCATGCTGCAATCTAATAATATGGAAACAATTTTTCTTAGAAAATTTTCTTCTGTCAAGACTTTTAATACCATCTTTACTATTTCTTGTTTTTCTTTGTTGCTCCTGTATGATAGCCCCTTTCCCCTTTCTGGCCTTCAGAGTTGGAATATTTCCTGAATGCTTTTCCCTTGCTCCTTCCCTCATGTGTCCTTCTTCTACCCAGGATAAATAATCATGCTGCAGTCCTCCATGGAGCTTAGTAAATCTCTGGCAAGGTAGATGTGCTTGCCAGAATTCCCACTGTATTAATCTCAACCTGAATGGGTTTAAGACTGTAGCTATTGAATCTACACTAGCAGAAACACTAAATTATATTTCTATAAGGAATAGAAAACAGAATCTCTCTATAAAATTTTGCTCTATACAAAGCATTTCTACACAGGCGCACAGCAAACCTACCCTCTAGGAGTCAGCATATTGTGAAAGGGTTCAAATTCCATCTGAAGCCTTTGTGAATCTCAGGTCATGGGGAAATAGTTGATGAACAAATGGGCATGAAAAACTTGCTTAAAGACAACTATAAATATTAAATGTTGAAAGCATGCCAGAGTGCTTGGAACACACAGGGTCCCTGATTAATGTGCTTTCCTTTCATCTCTTGATGTTTCACTCTTTATTATTTAGGAGAATAAGAAAGTCTTGCTAAGACTTGAGGGAAGATTCTTCTGTAGGTGATAATTGTGGAGGGAGCTGAAGTTTAAGACTAGAACTGGGATGGGGAGGGAGATCTGGGACTCTTCATTGGTAAATGGAATGAACCAGTTATGGGAGTTGCCTATTTTGGATCGTTGAGTTTATTAAAGTAAAGTAAGTAAAGGCCCTCCCGTTGATCGTCGATTTGCTCGAGCGGGCCCAGTAACGTCTCCATTGGAGACTTTGTTGTTACTGTGTCTGGCATATCAAATACTCTCGGTAGCTTGCCGGGCTCTCCGAGTTTATTAATGGTCTCGAGTTTATTAATGGTCACCTTTATATCATCTTAGAGTTGAAGGAATGGTCTTTCTTAAAATTGTTTTTAGTGAATCACCATGAGGTACAGTCACAGACTTAGAAACTTTCGTGCTTACATTTGAGTCATACAATGATCAAGTAGCCATCCCTCCACCAGTGCCCATTCGCCACCACCAATGTTCCCAGTATCCCTCCCACCACCTCTACCCCATTACCACCCCTCCCCCTGCCTCTGTGGCAGGTGCATTCCCTTCTATTCTCTCTCCTTTAGGGTCTTGTGGTTTGCAATGCAGGTATTAAGTGGCCATCATGTTCGGTCTATAGTCTACTTTCAGCTCACATCTCCCACCCCAAGCGGGCCTTCCAAGCACCCTTTACTTGGTGGTCCCTTCTCTATCTGATCTGCTGTTTTCCCCAGCATGTGAGCAATGTGACAAACTGTGGAGCAATCCTCCTGGTCCTTATCTCTACTATCCTTGGGTGTTAGTCTCCCATTCTGTTACTTTATATTGAAGGAGTGGTCTTATCTGCCCAACTTTTGCCTAATGTTGTCTATTTATTCTCACCAGGGAGACCATAAACTTTCCAAAAACTTACTGTAAAGATAATTAAAATGATTTTTTAAATCTATAAACTGAGCACCTTAATACACAACTTTACCTCCTAGTTCATTTAAACTCTGCTAAAACCCACTTAAATTTTGCATCAATAAATCTGGACATCCTTAAAAATCCAGCTTTGAAGTCTAGTAGGTTTCCTTGAGTTTTTTATTTATAATTGAGCTAACTATTTATACGTTTGTGGAACACACACTATATTTTATCTCTGGATTGAGAGCTATGGTGGGTTGAAATATAGGATGCATGCAGATATACAGGTCCCCCAGACCCAGAAATTTGAAAGAAGCAAAGAAGAGAGTGATGGGGAATTGAATGTCACCTGTGGGGTCAAGGTCCCTTGACCAGGTTTTCTTTATATATAACAAGAAATACTAGAAGATTCTGAGTTGTCACTGTTTTTTTGGAATAAAAACAAAATTAAGACGAACATTGAGAAGAGAACTGTTTTTTTTCCTCCCAGAAAGCAATGTCTATGAAGCCAAGACTCCAAACTTGGAAACTCAAGGGGCTCAGGAAGTTAAGGATGACAAAAATTTGCAGGTGGAGGTGCCTGTGGATCAGGTTGGTATTGGGGCACACATCCCTGTCACTGCCCTCTAATTCTGCTGCTTTAGCCCCTGCCTGTATTTACTCTCCCTTTTTGCATCTCAAGTTCTTCCTAGCCTCAAGAATGTTCCATGCCCTGTTCCCACCTTTAGTTAGCTACTGCTCTTCCTTCAGATCCCATATTATGTATTTATTGCCTTAACCCTCTCCCTAAACCTTTTATCTGAATACTTTTTAATACTTGTCACTGCTGTGGCTGCCTATGTAGTATTGTTTGATAACTGCTTTCAACTTTATACTCCATAAAGATTAGGTCTGCTTTGCTCACTGTTCTAGCCTTTGTCCCTAGCAGTTTTCCAGCAGGTAAGAGACCCTTAATTATTATTTATAGAATGATGGGATAATGACATGAATGGTGCATTAGACAATCTGGTATGGAATCACGGACTGCTGCTTCCTAGATTTCTGAATTTAGAAGGTCTTACTCTCCTTATGCCCGAATAGGATATTTCTGTATATATTGTATGGGGCTAAGTGAAGTGATGCTTGTTTAAATGCTCAATCCAGGTAGAGGAGTTGTTTGCTCCTACTTTCCTTTTGTTCCACATAGGTGTGAAGATGAATCAATAGGGGAGATGTAAGGAAGAAGCAGATGTAGGGAAGAAGAGATATAGGGAAGAAGGAGAAGGATGGGAAAGTGGAAAAGGAGTGAGCATCAAGGCCTGCTGACCTAAGCAGTGGGAAAAACAAATGTCTGATGGAGAAATGGAGGCCTGAGTTACAGACTAGCTTGACTCCCAATTGGCTGACAGTTGTCTACAGACAATGGGATCATCCCAGTTCCTGAGGAGAGATTGTTCAGAGAGGCTCCAGAAAGCCTGATTTGTCTTTAGCAAATACCCGAAGCCACTAAAATACACTTGCAATTATTAGTTTTTGAGAACAGATATTTTGAGAACCATGCATATAAAGGGCCAAATCCCAGTAATCAATAAGCTTTTCTGCTTTTCTTTCAGTAACCAGTCACCCTAACTTTGCCACCTTATTTTTAACATACTTCTGCTATGTTTCTTCCTGTAATCAACTTAAAAAGTGTTGCAGACTATGCATTAGTATACTTCATTTTGGAATTTTGAGCAATTTCACCATGTATTTTTCATATTTAGTATTATTAGCAATATTATTTTTTTTCTGAGTAACAAAACAATGACCCAATGATTGGTCTTCTCTTAAAATCTAAACTCAGAATTTAAATATTTTTTATTGCACACTTAAAGTTTTTATAGTAATTAAAGTTGAGGTTTTTTGGACAGTAACTTTTGTGCTAAATTTAACATCTGCCCTTTCACCTCAACATTGATTATCATTTTTTATTATTGTGTTTGGGGTTGTAGACTGAAAGGGTCAGACAAAAGTTTAAAGCATAGGTGAAATCCTAGTGCATCCAATTTTATTCCCATAAACTGCTTGTGTAAAATAAACATATTTATTTATTTTTGTTGCCAGAATATTTGATTTTCATGGTATTTTTATTATTGGAGCTTGCATAGAAATTATTGGAGACTATTAACAGACCACTGCATAATATAATCTGGGAGTGATAAATTTATTTAAGTCCCAAATTATTATAACTCAACACAAGGAAATAATTTTTACAACTTTATAGTCTTCACAAAAACCATATCCAATATGAAAATATTGATGTAGAAGTTATATCTTATATAATGAATACATTTTTCACAAAGCTAATGTCTTCTGACAGGTTTAAAATTATATTTATCTTATAAATATTTAAAAATGAAACAAGATTTTACTACTCTGGAGAAGCCCATATTCTCTCTTGAACACACATCTCTCTCTCTCTTCCTCTGCTCTTACATTACTCTAAATTTCTTTCAATAAAAAACATTTACCTCACTAAACACACACACACACACACACACACACACACACACACACACAAAGGAAATAGAAAAATGCATGCTCTATTTAGCATAGGATTCTTACTTTTGATTCCTATTTGGGAAATGGTTTAGATTTTCTCTGCACTTAACCAGTTCTATTTTTAGTAAAGTAGCATTACCCTACCACTATAATAGGTGATAAGCTTGTTATGGAAATCTAGGTCTATGGCTGATGCATTAAGAAGAGTAGATTAACTGAAATCACAAAGGACTAGCTCTAGTACTGACCTCCACCAAAATTCAGTTATATTCAGAGACTCACCAAAGTCAATGCAAGATGAGAATGAATTTAACTTAGATTTCGCAGCAGCAACCAGAGTGATGCATCCCAAACTGCACTTTCTTTGATTCATTTCACTCCAGAGAGAGCTAAGAATAAGACATTAACAAAAGTACGACCAAAATAATTTGAGCTAAATAGGAGAAACTCAGTCTAAATCCAGTAATTGCTGAATTGCTTAATTAGAAGAGATATAATGGAGCTTTAAGGCAGTGTTACTTTCAGGTGAATAGGATAAGGGACGTGACTAATCAATAAGGAAAATGTCTCTTGCCCCGTAATAAAAGCCCAGAGGCTTCCATGAATTAGAAGTTCCCAGAGTTGGCCAGCACAGAAGCTCAGTGATGTCTATCTGGGGTGAGGAGAGGTGCATAATTTCTCTAGGACTGTCATTGTGTTCCACAGCATATTGACTTTTGATTGCTGGTGGTGTCCTTAGAGTATCAAGCCTTTTTGTCTCAGCACATGGGAAAACATCATGGATGCTGCCAAGAATACAGAATAGTTTCTTCTATGTGCCTTTCCCTAATAGTAGGAACGTCTTTGGAGGACTCCAGAAAGCTATCACATGTCAGGCCTGAGTGATAGTACACGGGTTGGGCATTTGCCTTGCACGCGGCCGACCCGGGTTTGATCCCCAGCATCTCATATGGTTCCCTGAGCACCGCCAGAAGTGTGATTCCTGAGTGCAGAGCCAGGAATAACCCCTGAGCATCACTGGATATGACCTTGAGCATCACTAGGTGTGACCCAAAATGTCAAAAATAGAAAAAGAAATCTATCACAAGTCTCTACTCCATCCTTAATTGCTATCTAGGGAGGGAAAATTGCTAATAATTTTATTAAATAGGATAACAATTTGTTGGTAGAGGCCTAGGTAAAAAATTGGACAGATGCAGCCCTGACTGCAGTCAGTAACCTTAGTGAACAGAGGATGGTGACTTTCCCATTTCTATCTATAGAACGGGTCTAGAAAGTCATTTTGTCTCCCATGCACTTTGTTTCTTACGATTTGGTTGACTGGGAGTCAATCTAAGACATGGTGTATTTTCTTCTTAGAAACCAACTGAGATGGTTATAGAGGAAGAAATAATTGAGCAACCTTCTTCTGAATACAAGGTGAGTTATTTTATTTCTAGTTTATATTGAATTGCTGGGATCTCAGACTCTATTTTAGTCTTTTAAAACTTTATGTTTACTTAAGAAAGAAATGAAAGCTCAAGTCAGTTCTAGGATACATATCAACCTAGTTTGAGAAAAAGGATGCTTTTTTCTAGACAGCCTGTATATTTGAAAATCTTTTTTTTTAAACGGGTGTGACCATTCTCCAGACGCTTTTATTCATCATGATTGTTGAATAAATGACAGGAAGAGAACATTTATTCAGACCCATAGGAAGCTCTGGATTTTCATAAAGTTGGGGAAACTGAGATAAGGCTTAATCTGGATGAATTATATTGAAAACTCATCCAAAAGAGCCACACAAATCCATCACTGCATTCCTTCAGAGGTACCTGTAAGGAATTGTTGAGGTCCTTGAAGCTCCTGGCTCTATTGGTTCTATCACATGCTACAATGTATTCTCTACCTCTTGGCTCAGGTGAGGTATGAGACCTGCCTTCTTGGTGTCTGGTGAGTAGAGGTAATAACTGTACTTTCCAGCTGACTCTGTGCAAGCCAATGTGTCATTCAGCACTGCCTCTCCTCTGCTTCTGAGATCATAGAAACATGGGTGTGAGAATCTCACCAGTCCTGAGTGATGATGTTGGACCGCCTCAGTTGACTTGTATATATGCTTCTCTATTTACTGCAGTTCATCTGCCTGATTTTTTTTTCTCAAAGAGAGGTCCCAAGAATTGCTCAAGGGTCGTGAGTATTGCATGATTTAGTATTGCATCTGGGTGAGTTGGTTCAGTTCAAGGGTCAGAGAATGCAGTGCTACTTGGATCTGGGGCTGGAAACTACCAGGCCCACACGCTATCATGCTAAGGGAATCATGTGGGGTCAGGGATGGATCTGGGATTGGGCACCTCCTATCTTCCTGGCCCTCATCTGCCTGTTATTAGTGTTGTAGAATTAAAGTTATCCATTCTGGGAATTTAGGGCTGGAGCTATAGCACAGTGGGTAGGGCGTTTGCCTTGCATGCAGCCGACCCAGTTTCGATTCCTCCATGCCTCTTAGAGAGGCTGGCAAGCTACCGAGAGTATCTCGCCCATGCGGCAGAGTCTGGCAAGCTCCCTGTGGCATATTCGATCTGCCAAAAACAGTAACAACAAGCCTCACAATGGAGGCATTACTGGTGCCCCACTTGAGAAAATTGATGAACAATGGGAGGACTGTGCTACAGTGCTACCATTATTATTATTTTTATCTGGGCACTGTGTTTTTCAATGTGTTAATCGTAAATTTCTGGGCATTCAAAGTTCGATCTCTGCATTGCCATCAGTAGCAGGCCATCACTAGTGACCCAAGGTTTCCGCTTTCCCTCTGCCCCACCTTCTTTGTGGACTCATTTTCTTTCCTTCCCCTTCTTTTTCTTTCTTTCTTTCTTTCTTTCTTTCTTTCTTTCTTTCTTTCTTTCTTTCTTTCTTTCTTTCTTTCTTTCTTTCCTTCCTTCCTTCCTTCCTTCCTTCCTCCCTGCCTTCTCTCCCTCCCTCCCTCCCTCCCTCCCTCCCCCCTCCCTCCCTCCCTCCCTCCCTCCCTCCCTCCCTCCCTCCCTTCCTTCCTTCCTTCCTTCCTTCCTTCCTTCCTTCCTTCCTTCCTTCCTTCCTTTCTTCCTTCTTTCCTTCCTCTTCCTTCCGACCTCCTTCCCTCCCAATCTCCCTCCCAATCTCCCTCCCTCCCTCTCTCTCTCTCTCTCTCTCTCTTTCTTTTCTTTCTTTCTTTCCTTCTGAATTCTTTATTAGTGAATCAAAATTATGTGCCTTCTTTCGAAGCACAGTTTTTATTAAATAAAATTTACTTAGAAAGATGTGAGGAGAGGGAGAGAAAGGAAGTACCTGTTCAAGAGAGAACATAGGCCTGTCCAGGGTGGAGAAAGCAAGGCAACATCAAGACAAGCAAGTGAGAATAGGTGTTCAAGAGAGAATAATGCTTGAAGAGCAATCTCTTTACAGACTCATTTCCACAAAATTTTTATTCACTATAGTTTGGGTCACATGCTCACACTAGTGTCGACACTTTTGGTTTTGATACATACAGTTGCCTCACTTCTATACTACCAAAGTAGTCTAAATCACAGTCTGCTTCCTAATCCTCATGTTCATGCTTTTCATACTCATATATAATCCAAAGCCAAGCGCTTGCCATAATTTGATACCTTACATTCTTGTTACTCTGTAGATCCACAGATAAGTTACATTTATCTCCTCATGTATTTTCTTACTATAATTACTGCCATTCCCCACCCTGTGATTGAATCACCCAATGATTGAATATTTCCTTATGACTGTATAGTATTTCATCACACGCATAAACCACCACCACTACCACCACCACCACCACCACCACTTTTTTATCCATTTATCTGTACTTGGATATTTGTGTTTTTTTACATATCTTGTTTATTTTACTAAGTGCTGTGATTAACATAAGTGTGACTATATATTTTGAACTAGTTTTGTGTTTTGTGGGTAGATGCCAAGAAGTGGAATTTTTGGTCATATAGCAGCTATATTATTATTTTTAAAAGAAACCACCATACCATTTTTTATAGAGACTAACCCAGATACAATATTCCCACTAGGATTGAATGAAAGTTTCTTTTGACTTTATTCTTGCCGATGCTGGTTGTTTTTCCTGTTGTTGATATATGTCATACTCCCTGGTGTGAGATAACTCATTCGTTTTTAAAATGTTTTTATTTCGAATACCCATCCCTCCACCAGTGCCCATTTCCCACCACCACGGATCCCAGTATCCCTCCCAACCCCCATCCCTCCCATCCCCCCCTGCCTCTGTGGCAGGGCATTCCCCTCTGTTCTCTCTCTCCTTTTGGATGTTGTGGTTTGCAAAAGAGTTAAGTCTGATTTTCAGGGAGAAACGTTGAGATAATTCATTCTTGTTTTAAGTTTGGACTTCCCGAATAATAAGTAATGATGGACACTTTTTTGTATACTTATTGGCCATCCATAAGTCCTTTCTGGGGAAATGTCTGTTATCTCTTTTCTCCATTGAATTTTTGGGCCACACATGCTGGTATTTAGGGTGTACTCCTGGCTTTGCACTCAGAGATCACTCCTAGTGGGCTTGGTGGACCATATGTGGTGCTGAGGATTGAACCTGGGTTAGCCATGTACCAGGCAAATGTCATATCTGCTATACTATCATTCTGTCCCCATATTCTCCCAATTTTTGGTGGGGTTATTGGATTCTTTGTTGCTGAGATTTCTGATGCTTTATATATTCTGGCTATTAGTGTTTTATCTTAAGTCTTGTGTACAAATGTCTTCTCCAATTTAGTCAGGTATCTTTTAATTTTGTCCTGAGTTTCATTTGCCATGTGGAAACTTAATTTTGATGTCTTCTTACTTGTTTTTTCTTTGTTTTTGTTATCTTTGCCAACAGGATTATGTAACTTTCACCTATTTTCTTCAAAGTATTTATGCATTCATGTATTATCCTGAGGTCTTTAATGTAATTTAATGTTTGTGTATGGTGTGAGATACAAATAAAATTGCATTTTTTTAGCATGTATTTATCTAATTTCTCCAGAATTATTCGTTGAAGAGACTTTTGTTGGTCTGCTTCATGCTTCGGCTCCTTTATTATAGATTAACTATCCATAGATATGAAGGTTTGTCTCTGAACTCTTAGGTCAAATCTTCTGTCTTTCCTTATTTTAGTACTATGATATTTTGGTTACTATAGTTTTATAGTATAAAGTTGGGATGTGTGATGCCTCCCCATTTCTTTTTTCTCAGAATAACTTTGTAATTCCACTGTCACTGTCACTGTCCTCCCGTTGTTCATCGATTTGCTCGAGCAGGCCCAGTAACGTCTCCACTGGAGACTTTGTTGTTACGGTGTTTGGCATATCGAATACATCACGGGTAGCTTGCCAGGCTCTGCCATGCGGGCGAGATACTCTCGGTAGCTTGCCGGGCTCTCCGAGAGGGGCAGAGGAATCATACTTGGGTCGGCCATGTTGGCTGCGTACAAGGCAAACGCCCTACCACTGTTCTATTGCTCAGCCCAATTTTGTAATTCCATACAAATTTTATTAGTGTTTTTTCTAGGCCTGTGAAAAATGTTATTGGAGGTTTGGTGGGGATTGCATTAATTCATGTAATAATTTGGATAGAATGGTCATTTTGACAATGTTAACTTCTTTGCTTGTAGCTTCTTTTCTTTCATAAGTGCCTTACAGTGTTCAAAATATAGGCTTTTTACGTCTTTTGTTAATTTCTAGATACTTGATTTTTCAAACATTATTTTATTTATTGAAAATAAAACTTTATTAATTAAGGTACTGTGATTGTTAATTATGGCTTCATGTGTATATAAGTCCAACACTACACCCCTCACCAGTGTACCCACTTTTTCCTTTCCTGACGTCCTTAAGGCCCTTTCCTTTCTAATCCCACTCTCCAAAAACTCATTCTGTGGATCATTTCTCTTATGTGGACTTGACACACTGTTGCTACTTCTCTGTTTTTCATCATGAAAGAGATCATTCTGTTTCTATTTCTTTACTTTTGATTGACTTCAGCTCTACCTGGTATCCTCTAGCTCATGTCATGGAAAATTGCATACTTTTGTCATTTCTTTCTTAGAGCTGCACAGTATTCCATACCACAAGTTATCATCCATCCATTCATTGTTGGATATTTGAATTATTTTCATATCTTGGCTATTTTACTATGCAGTGCAATGAACATAAGTGTACATTTTTTTAAAATTAATGTTCAAACACTTAAATGAAGTACACCTTCTGATCACTTTCTCTTTTAGTTTATTATTTGCAAATAAAAATCTAACTGTGCATATTGATATAGTAGCTTGTTACTTTTCTGTATTGGTTTATTGTTTTTAATATTTTTAGTGAAATATTTAGTGTCTTCTATTATTAAATCATCTGCCAATATTTATAGTTTGACTTCTTTCCCAAGATGGATCCATTTGGTTACTTTTCTCACCTGACTGCTATGGTGAGAACTTCCAAGACTATATTGAATGATAGTGGAGAAAGTGGGCAACCTTGCCTTGTAAAGATCTCAGAAGGCAGACAGTTTTTGACAATTAAGTGTGACAGCTGTGAGCATGTTGTAGATGGCCATTAATATCTTGAGAAAGATTCTTTCTAACCCTATTTTGTTAATTTTTTTAAAATCATAGATTAATGTTGACTTTTGTCAAAGGCATTATCTACAGTGTTTAATATGATTATATCACTTTTCTCTTATTTTGGTGATGTGATATATTACATTAATTGATCTCCATGTTTAAACCATTCTTGCATCCCTGGAATGAATCCTACTTTTTTGTATAATCCTTTTGATAATATGTTGTTGGATTCCATTTGCAAGATTCTGTTGAGGACTTTTGTGTTAATGTTCATCAGGGATATTGGTCTTTAATCTTTTTTTGGTAAAATCTCAGTTTTCTTTTGGTATTAGGATAATATTGGCTTCATAGAAACTAGTTGAAAGGTATTCTGTTTCTTTGCTATTTTGGAAAAACTTGACAAGTATAGATAGTACATCTTTTTTTGAAAGATTGATAAAACTCACCAATGAACCCATTTGGACAAGGATTTTGTTCATAAGAAGATCTTGGGACTTTTATTTTCCATAGAATTACATGATTTTTCCTAGGATTAGAGAGTTTCCATAATATAAATTGTAGCACTAAACCTATGTAAATTACTCAAAAAAAACCTGCAAAATAATTGAGAAGGAGATTGAGCACTTACCCTGTGTGGGTCATGCTGTTCGTGTAACTTCTGAACAATGAAAGAGGGTGTTGTTGGTTGAGGTTCTCAAGGGTGTTACCAGAATAATTACCTGATGATTAGAGGCATCTTGTGATCAATTCACTTCCTTTTAGGGAGAGGGGCTTTGTAGTATTTGTCCTTAGTGATTTCTACAACAGTTTTATTATATATGTTAGCATTTTGTTGGAGGCAAGGACAAAAATCATGGCTGGTGCAATCAGAGCAGATTGAATTAGAGTTCAACAGTAACTTTAGTGAAAACAGATATTGATTTTTCAGCTCTGTTTGAAGAGGTAATTTGGAAGTCACACTATTTCTCACTTCACTTTTTACAAGGATGTTAACTGGAATTAAAACTAAAATATAGTGTATTTTTTTTCTTAGATCCCATCTGCAATGATGATAGAAGATACAGGGATAAATGACAAAACCAATTCTGAAAACAAGGTGAGTTCACTGTCACTGACCTCCCGTTGTTCATCAATTTGCTTGAGCGGGCCCAGTAACATTGTGAGACTTGTTATTGTGTTTGGCATATTGAATACGTCACGGGTGCTTGCCAGGCTTTGCCGTGCAGGCAAGATACTCTCGGGAGCTTGCCGGCTCTCCGAGAGGGGTGGAGGAAGCGAACTTGGGTTGGCCATGTTGGCCATGTGCAAGGCAAACACCCTACCCACTATGCTATCTCTCCAGCCCAAGGTGAGTTTATTTTTTCTTTTTTTGCTGCTTGGGTGACACCCAGAGATGCACAAGGGTTATTCCTTGCTCTGCATTCAGGAATTATTCTTGGTGGTGCTTGGGGGAACATATGGGATGCTGGGAATCTAATCTGGGTTGGCCGCATGCAAGGCAAATGCCCTGCCTGCTGTGCTATTGCTCCAGCCCCCAGTTAATTCTATATATATTTTATATTTACTGATTAGGATCCCATGTACCTATTTATATTGTTAACAGGTTGAGTGAGCTGAAGAATTATTGTCAGTTTTAGGGTACAAACACACTGACATAGAATTAGAAGCACAGCATATGGTATGGTACGTTCATGAAATCCAACAATTCAACAAAAACAAGGTTTCTTCTTATTTTGGACTTATTTTTCTTGATCAAATTCTGTTTCACCATAGCCTAGTCTCTATACAGCTCTCCTTGGGTTCTTCAAGTGTTCAGGCAGAAGTGCAAAGTATGATTTTTTAAATTTAATTTAATTTTTATGAGGTCGTTCACAATAATTCATTACATTTAATATTTGAACACCAATCCCACCACCATTGCACCTTCTTGGCATCATATTTCAAATGTTTTCACTCCAAATTCCAAACCGTATTGTCCAAAGCAGAAACAAAATAATTAATTTTGTATTGCTTGTTATGAATAATCCACTAAAAATGATCCAATAAAGTTTCCCTAGAAGAAAGTGTGTTAAGATTGTTGTATTTCATTCTGAAGCAATTAAGCCCTTGTATAGGAGATTACTAACATGTTTGTTAAATCCAATCAAATGTTGCGTGTTACTCTTGGTACATCAGTGGTGTAGAGTATGAGAGGTTGCCATGTTTCAGGAATTCTAAAATTTAGAATATTATTGTACAGCAGATTCACTTATGGCTGAAGCCTATGTTGCTTCTTCTGGGAGCTTCCTTCCTTCCTTCCTTCCTTCCTTCCTTCCTTCCTTCCTTCCTTCCTTTCTTCTTTCTTTCTTTAAAATTTTTATTAGTGAAACACCATGAGGTACAGTTGTAGACTTACAGATTTTTGTGCTTGGGTTTCAGTTATACAATGTTAGAGTACCCATCCCTCCACCAGTGCCCATTCTCCACCACCAATGATACCAGTATCCCTCCCACCCCACTATCCCCCCTATCACACCCCACCTCTGTGGCTGGGGTGGGGTACCCTTTTGTTCTCTCTCTCCTTTTGGGTGTTGTGGTTTGCAAAAGAGGCATTGAGTGGCAATCATGTTGGGGTCTATAGTCTACTTTCAGCATGCAACTCCCATCCTGGGAGGATCCTTCCAACACCCTTTACTTGGTGCAAAGGAGGTTTATTTCTGAGTCTCTGGATTATGGCTGTTGATGACATTGTATGGTGCAAGGAGCAGTTTATGGGTGTGACTGCCAAGCTACTGATAAACTTGGCAGATGGGGAAGGAAGCCCATTCCCTCTCTGAGCGAGCTTGGAGATAACAGTCACAGGTTCCACATACCTGTGTTTTTCATTCATGGATGAGGCTCGTCTAAGTGTGTGGCAAGTGACCGTGAGCATGGCGGCAATTCGCAAAGTATGATCTTTTTGATGACTAGAGACATCTTAGTGATGAATACATTAATTTTTTGCAAAAGGGATTTATAAGGTCTTAAAATGATTTTGCCCAAAACTTTAATAAACAGATTGTCATCTTGTTGGTGGAAGACAGTGGAAGTCACTAAAAGTTGTGGTGACTGGTGAAGTTGGTGGAAGTCACTAAAAATACATAATAGATACTATCCTAAGTTATAGTAATTTCAGTGTACAAAGATGTTGACTTTCAGATCTGTTTATAGAAGTGTTCAAAAAATTCTGCTATTTCACTCTAAATTTTTTTAAAATTTTATTTTTAATTGTAGCTGAAGTAGTCTGGTTACAGTGCCATCAATATTTAGTAAATATTTGGTATACTATTTTGATTGGGCTGGAGTGATAGCACAGCAGATAGGGTGTTTGCCTTGCATGCGGCCAACCTGGGTTCAATTCCTCCGTCCCTTTCAGAGAGCCCGGCAAGCTACTGAGAGTATCCTGCCTGCACAGCAGAGCCTGGAAAGCTCCCCGTGGCATATTCAATACAGTAACAATTCTCACAATGGAGATGTTACTGGTGCCCGCTTGATCAAATCGACAAACAATGGGAGGGCAGTGCTACAGCACTACTATTTTGATTATTAAAATAGTAAATATTGTACATTAAATACAATATTTACACCAAAATAGTAAGTATTGTACACCAAACCAAAGATGCTCCACCACTGTTCTTATTTCAATTCTGGCCTTTCTCTTCCTTCCCTATACTCCCCCTTAAATCCTCATCATACACCTGTTTGATAACTTCATCTCTATTACCAAAATTAACAAATCTTTGGATACTGTCAATTCCCTTGCTTTGTTTTTTTTGTTTTACATATATGAGTGAAATCTTCATTTGTCCTTCTCCTTCTTATTTATTTTGCTTAACACAACACCTTCTAATCCTATCCATATTAATCTTTTCATATAGCTGAGTTGTATTCCATTGTATTTATGTATACCATACTTAATTTTATCCACTCAATTGACATTGAACATATAGGCTATTTTCATATATTGTAAATTATGCTGCAGTGACATCATTTGGTTCAACTTCTCTGTGAAACAGTTTGAAGACTACTGAAAAATAAAATAGAAATTCCACACTACTCAGTGATTACACTCTGGTATCTATGCCATGAACACAAAGAAATTAATGCAGAAATATATATACACACTTACGGACTTTGCATTTTACTTCTTAAAAGGAGGTTGACTACAAATCACTTAATCACTTAACTTTTCATTAATCGTCGATTTGCTCGAGCGGGCACCAGTAACGTCTCCATTTGTCCCTGTCGCATGCTAGTGTGGCCCAATGGCGTCTGTTCGCTCTAGGGACATGAAGAGCCTCAAACCAATCGTTCATGATCTTGATGAAGAAGTCTGACCATCTGGTAGGTGGGTGGCCACGCGGTCTTTTGACATCCCGTGGAATCCAGTCAGTAACAGCTCTAGTCCAGCGGTCGTCTTTAAATCTCATTATGTGACCAGCCCATCTGATTTTTGACACCTTGGCAAACGAGACAGCGTCCCTTATTCTTGATCGTCGACAGATGTTGGAACTCCAGATTCTTTCTCTCATTTGAGTGAAACGTGATATTCCAAGCATAGCTCTTTCAGTTCTTCTTTGGGAGACCCGAATAGCGTTCTCATCCTGTTTGCGTAGGGCCCAGGTCTCTGAGGCATATGTTAATGCAGGAAGAACAGTGGAATCAAAGAGATGTGCCCAGAGCCGGAGGTTCTTCATCCTCTTAGCTATTTCTTCGACGCTCTGGAAGGCGTTCCAAGCTGCTCTCTTCCTCCTGTGCAGCTCGGGTGCCAGGTCATTTGTCATGTTGACTTCTCGACCTAGGTACACATAGCTGTTGCATTTGGAGATGGTCGTTCTGTTGAGAGCGAATGGGGCATCGGGAACGAGGCTGTTTCTCATAAACATTGTCTTTGTAAGATTCAGCTGTAGTCCTACCTTTCCACACTCACAGTCAAAGTCGGCCAGCATTTGTGCCGCTTGGCTGATGTTTGGTGTTATTGAGACAATGTCATCAGCAAAGTGGAAGTGGTATAGTTGCCGACCATCTATCTTCACTCCCATTCCTTCCCATTCCAGTCGTTGCATGATGTTCTCGAGGGTGGCACTGAAGAGTTTTGGTGAAATGGTATCACCCTGCCGAACCCCCTTTCAAATTTATTTGAAATTTTTATTTAAATTTACAAATAAATTTAAAATATGGAGAGCTTTCTTCTTAGACTGTTCCAGAGATTGTTATATAAGAATTAGGGATAAGTAAACACTCAGTTACTACAGAATACATGGTGAGTTAATTCAACCTTTATTGTGTATTGATGACCTTACTAACCACCTAGTCATTATTGTGGGACTTAATGTTTGATGAGGAGCATATGCAAGAGTTCAAATCATTTTGAGGTAGGATTAACCCCAGTATAGAATTAGAAACATGAATTTTCTTTCCAACCAGTTTATATCTAGGATCAGAGATCTCAGGACCAAAATTTATGAGTAACTTTTAAAAAAAGATTTTCCTTGCATGTGGCCAACCCGGGTTTGATTCCCAGCATCCCATCTGGTCCCCTGAGCACTGCCAGGGGTGATTCCTGAGTGCAGAGCCAGGAGTAACCCCTGTGCATCACCAGGCATGACCCAAAAAAGCAAAAAATAAAAAATAAAAAAGATTTTCTTTGTTTGATTTTGCTTCCTTTTCTTACAAAATCATGAGATAATAGTTTTTTAACTGAATAATTGAGAGGTAGTTACAAAGTTGTTCAAGACTGATGTTCCAGCTATATGAGTAACTTTTCCCATTCCTTTCCTTTGCTATGGTGAATGGTGATTGCACACCTACTTGTCTGTTGTATTCTCACACTTGTTTGTGATGTTTATTCTTTGTTTAAATAGATCAATAAATACTTATGTAGGCTCTTTGAATATGTAAGTATGATCTGAAAGTTACTTTAATGTAAACAATTAGAAATAATAAGGAGTGTAGGATACTCTACAAAATAGATGGTGCTGATCACCTCAGCGAGACACTATTGCCCCCTTCCTGGGACATCATGTCCTCCAGAATTCCCTCTTTATCAGACTTCCCTAAAGTAAACACAGAAGCTCACATGAATTTGAATATTAATTTTTTTGGGTGGTAGTTGTTTTTATTCCACACCTGGCAGTGTTTCAGGCTGACAACTAGTTCTATATTCAGTGATAACTCCTGGTGGGATTTGGAGGACCATATGTGGTGCCTGGGCTGGAAATAGGGTAGGCAAATGCTCTACCCTAACGATGTACTGTTGTTTTGGCCCACAATATCAATGATTTATTCTTTTGTCTTTTTTTATATTCAATTTCTGTCTTCACAAGCTACCGAGAGTATCTCGTCCCCACGGCAAAGCCTGGCAAGCTACCCGTGATGTATTCGATATGCCAAACACAGTAACAACAAAGTCTCCAATGGAGATGTTACTGGGCCCGCTTGAGCAAATCGATGAACAATGGGAGGACAGCGACAGTGAAATCTTCCTTCTTATTTATATATTAAATATCCTGAAATCATACCAAATATAAGCAGAACAAATCCTCCTTGTCCTCATTATTCTTTGAGTGATTTGATGTCTCTCCTGGCCTGTAGAATCAGTCTTTTGAGGGATATGTGTCTCTGCGCTTCCCCATTTCCCTCATGGGTATTACCAGGGTCTGTCTATAATGACGCAAGAGTTCTTGATATTCTATCTTCATTTCAGCAGTTTCTTAGATACCATCACCATGGTATCTGAGCGGGTAGAGCGATAGCACAGTGGGTAGGGCGTTTGTCTTGCACGTGGCCAACCCAGGTTCGATTTCTGCATCCGTCTCAGAGAGCCTGGAAAGCTACCAAGTGTATCCTGCTTGCACAGAGTCTGGCAAGATCCCTGTGATGTATTCGATATGCCAAAAACAGTAACAACAAGTCTCACAATGGAGACTTTACTGGTGCCCACTCGAGCAAATTGATGACCAACAGGACAGTGCTGTAGTGCTACCATCACCATATGTTAATCATCTCTGACTTTTGCTATTCTGTTGACATTTGGCCACTCTCTCCTCTATCTCTCTCATTCATCTTGTTAGGTTTCTGATGAAATAAAGGTGTTCAGTAAGGACCAGGGCTATGCCTCTTTTCACTTTGGACTTTTAACTTGTCCAGATTTAGTTTACATACAACTCTCCTCTGAGCTTCAGATACATGTGCCATCTACTGAGCTGACATCATCTTAAACCATTTGACAAAAAACTCAGGAAAGGGCACAGTATCATCTTGGCCTCTTTCCAGTATCCCAAGATAATCTTGCTCCTGATATTTAGAATATCTGAGAAACCGAGAGGTAGGCTAATGGGAATTGGCTGTTTTGAAAACTAACCAAGTACTCAAGAATCATAAAAACCCATTGTTTTATGTACATTCAGAAGCACCTAGTAGGAGTTTTTGGTTCTTTGGTGTTCTTGACCCAATAATTTCTGTCATGTTCTGGGGTGTATTCTGCACCCACTGTTGAAGCTGTGAATCCTGCTTTCATTTGTGAAAGGTGAATAAGTGCCACTTTCCCATCAACTTGGTAAAAGTCAACATATCTTTTGTACCTAACTCTTCTCTGCATTTGAGGGACATGTGAAGTGGCAATCTTACAGCCTAGCATCCTGAATGACTGTGGTGACAGACCATAATGGTCATTTAGCACACCCACATAGTTTACTTGTTACTGCAGCCTCATTTGTCTATTGTGACAGTGATATAAAATTTATGCATCTTCTCTGGGAATTTATCATTCCCCTCCTCCCAAACAACACACACAGAATCAATCTTTTATCCTAGAGAAAAGTGCTAATATAGCACCGTTTAGAGAATTCATACTTTTGTCAGCAGGAAAATCAGAAAATAGCAACAGAATGAGGAGCACAGAAAATAGCAACAGGAGAATCAGGAGCACTGTGATAACAGTTAGTATTTTTTGGTGGGGGAGAGGTCCTCTCTTGAATAAGGAGAAAGAGAATGTTCCTTGGGTTCTTCAAGGGTACTGCCAGAACTGCAGGGGATAGTAACCCAACACTCTTTAGTGATCAATCCATTTTTCTTAAAAGTCTTTAGTGTTTTAAAAATGATTTTGTCAGAAATTTTAATAACATTTTGTTGGTGGAAGATAGGTTAAAATACATAGTAGATATAATACTGTTTTTTGTAATTCAGATGAAAATATGCTTATTTTCTGAGATCAATCTACAAGGTATCTTACAAAATTATGCTATTTCACATTAATTTCTGTTTATTTTAATTATTTTATTTTTAAATTTAAGTGTAATATTTACTTATAGTTGTGAGCATCAATGTTTCAATACTATTAATATTTTTAATTTTGGTATACGCAGTTACTGTACTTCACCAGTACCATTTTGCCAAAGACCCTCCAACATTTTATTTATGTCATTTCTAGTATTTGTCTTCTTTTCTACCCCCCAAAATCCATCCCCCCATTGCTAGTAGCTAATTAATTCTGTAGTCAAGTTCAGGGTTGGTTATTATTAGATAGTGCAAATTCTATTACTTGATTTTCTTTTGTATGCCACATATTAGTGAGAATATTTATCCTTTTTCCTCCTATTTCAGTTTATGTAATCCTATCAATTCTATCCATGGAAGAGCTAAATCTCATCTTTTGGTATAATGTTAAGGAGTATTCCATTGTTTATAAAACAGTTTTTTTAATTTGCTGTTGGACATTTGGACTGTTTCTGGGTCATTTCTGTTGAAAATTTTGCTACAATGAGTATTGTTTGTTTTGGTCTCTATGAAAAAATAGTAGCGAGACTACCAAAACTTAAAGATAGGACTTCCACATGACTCAGTATCTCCACTCCTTTGTATCTATCATATGAACACAAAGATGTTAACGCAAAATATATTCCTGTGTTTGTTGCATTTTGTTTCTTAAAAGGAGGTTGCCTATAAGTAAATCTGAAACAGTGTATTTTCTTCTTAGACCCCATCTGAAAGCATCATAAAGAAGTCAGAGATAAAGGGACAGTCTATTTCTGTAGACAACAAGGTGAGCATATTCTTTTATTTTGTACTGATGGCTTTTGGCAGTACCTATAAGTGGAGCTCCTGTTTGATGAAGAAAGTATGTAAGAGTTCAACTCATTTTGAGGATGAAAGCCATCATACAATTGTAAATATGAGTGTCCTTTTCAGTCAGGATACACCTATGATTAGGGGCCTTGAGACCAAAATTTACTTGATAATTTTCCCCCTTGCCTTTCTTTTTTTTTTTGTTTTGATGACTTGGGATAGTGCACTCACTTTAAAAAAGTATGTTTTATTGCAGCCCTCTTTACAATAGCCAGAAACTGGAAGAAACCTGAATGCCCAAGAACAGATGACTGGTTAAAGAAACTTTGGTACATCTACACAATGGAGTACTATGTAGCTCTTAGAAAAGATGAAGTCATGAAATTTACATACAAGTGGTACAATATGGAAAGTATCATGCTAAGCGAAATGAGTCAGAAAGAGAGGGATAGACATAGAAAGATTGCATTCATCTGGGGGATGTAAAGTAACAAAGTATGAGATTAATACCCAAGAATAGCTGAGATCAGCACCAGGAGGATTACTCCATAACTTAGAGGCCAGCCGGGTATCCTAGAGGAAAGGGCTATTCAGATAGAGAAGGGAGCACCAAATAAAGGATGTTTGGAGGATCCTCCCAGGAGGGGAGATGCATGTCGAAAGTAGACTATGGACTGAACATGTTTGCCACTCAATGCCTCTTTTGCAGACCACAACACCCAAAAGGAGAGAGAGAACACAGGGGATTGCCCTGCCACAGAGACGGGGGGATGGGGGGATGGGGGTGGGAGGGATATTATCCATGGTGGTGGAAAATGGGCACTGGTGGAGGGATGGGTATCTGATCATTGTATAATTGAAACCAAAGCACAAAAAATTGTAAATCTACAACTTTAAAAAAAATAAAATAAAATAAAGGGGGGGAAAAAAAAAGTATGTTTTATTAAAGAACTGTGATTAACAAAGTTACTGATAGTTGAGCTTTGGGCATATAACATTTCAACACCAATCCCACCACCAGTGTCAACTTCCTTTTATAAGTGTTCCCATATCCCCCCCTACCCCAACCCCAAACCCATCCCCATCTGTCAACTTGACAGGCATCTTGCAGTTACAGTGGTTGTGGCTTAGATCTCATGTTTTTGTTTTTGATGAGTCTGTCCTTCCTTCCTTCCTTCCTTCCTTCCTTCCTTCCTTCCTTCCTTCCTTCCTTCCTTCCTTCCTTCCTTCCTCCAGTCCCTCCTTCTTTTGACTTTGTTCTTAGGAATTAGGGGACTATATGGGGTTCTCAGGATCAAATTTGGGTCAGCCATCTGCATGGAAAGTGCTACCGTATAATCTTTTCAGCCTGAGTATTTTGTTTCTTAAAAGGAGTTTGATTGTGAGTAAATCTAAATCAAGGTCTACTTTTTTCCTCCTTAGAATCCATCTGAGAACATTAGAGAATATTCATGGATAAACGGCCAATCTTTTACTGAAGACAAGGTGAGTGAATACTCCTTTGATTTTATATTGCTAACCCAGGACCTTCTTTTTATTTAACTTCACTTTTATTCAGTCACCACCTATTCTTTAAACACCCCAGTGACTCTCCAGAATGAAAAGGAATGCAAGCACTCAAGCCATTTTAGGATCAACATGGCATAGAAATAGAAACATGAATATGACTTCCAGGGATGCTGTATATAAGATTAGGGTCATTTTTTTGCCTTTTGTGTCACACCCAGCGATGCTTAGGGGTTACTCCTAGCTCTGTGCTCAGGGATTACTCCTGGCGATGCTTGGGAGACCATATGGGATGCTGGGGATTGAACCCAGGTCTGCCACTTAATCACTTAATCACTTAACTTCCCGTTAGTCGTCGATTTGCTCGAGCGGGCACCAGTAACGTCTCCATTTGTCCCTGTCGCGTGCTAGTGTAGCCCAATGGTCTACCACATGCAAGGCAAATGCCCTACCAGCTGTACTGTCACTCCGGCCCCAAGATTTGGTGTTTTATGGTCAAAACTTACATGAGTAATACTTGTGCTTCTATTCCTTTGTTGTTGTGATGGCCAGGGGTTGAACACTGCTTTGTAAGTGCTCTCATATTTGTTTGTGACAATCATTGTTTATATAGACAAATCAGTGTTTACCTCTCATGTCTGTATGAGCTCTTTGAATATGAATAGTTCCTGAAAGTAGTAGGAATGTTTGTAAATTAGGCATAAGTAGTTATAAAAAAGGTAGCATGCTATGTGAAAATTTGTATCAGGGTATTTATATTTATATGTTATTTTGTCTAAGCCCTTATCTCATTTTATTAATGAACATAACTCCCCTTATACCAGATTTGACAGATAGCCTTTGCAGGTCTCATGAACTTGAATGTCAAGGGTACTAAGCGTTTATTCCCTCTTTGTATATTGAGTTCATCTCTCATTAAGTATCCTGAAATCATATATAATTAAAATAAAACTGGCATTCTTTGAACAACTTTATCTTTCACTGACCTATAAATTCAGTCTTTGGGGTGAGAACTCTTTCTTCACTTCCTCTGTCTCTTCCCTTTTTATAGATCTTTTGGTATCTCCCTATAATACCATGATAAGACACATGGGGTCTTGACATTATGTCCCTATTTTTTAACACATTTCTAAGTTCTTTTATTCATCTGTTTATTATCTTTGATTTATCTCATTATATTTACATGTTACCTGTTCTTTCCTAGAAATACTGTCTTCATTTGGCAAGATGACAACTATTTCCTGATTTTCCTTTTTTTAAATATATATTTCTTCTCATTATTTTTTAAAAAGAGTTTTTATAGTTGACCACCATTAAATGCAGGAGGTCAACAGTCTATTCTCACTTTTTTATTTTTTAATTTTTTTCTGTCTATATTTTTTAACATAGTATCTCAGCCTGTATGCTGTTCTTTTCTTAGCTTTTGACACATGTGTAAACATTCTAAGCTCACATTATCATTCAATATTTTAAGATACTATGCACAGAGAAGGGGAATTGAACCTTTGGTTTATTTCAGTGACTCTTAGAGCTCCTTAATCTGGATTTTCAGAATGCCTGAAAAGTTGAACTCTTGGCTAATGGGGATTGGCTGTATTGGATATCCAGATATCGAGGAACTACAAAATTCCATTATAGCACATCCAGGACATGAGGCAGGAACTTTTGGTTCTTGTTGCTCATGTTCCAATTTCTGCCATGTATTCCCACAGGGCTCTGTGATTCCACTCCTTAGCATCATCCCATGGACACAAATGCATTAACTGCATTAACTGTGGAAAGATATATGCTTACTTTTATTTATTGCCTTTTGCTTCTTCAATGGAGGACTATGAATCAATCTAAAACAGGGCCTACTTTCTTCTTAGACTCTATATGAGATAATTAGAGAATATAAAGAGACTAATGACCAATTTGATTGTGAAGACAAGGTAAGTGAATTCTACTTTGATTTTGTATTGATGGCTTTAGGTACCACTTATTCTTTTAATATCTAATTGATGCTCCAGAATGAAGAAAGGATGTAAGAGGCCAAGTTCTTTCAAGGTTTCATACTGACTTGAATGTGCTTTTTAAGCGTGGTATACCAAGATCAGGTGTTTTGTTGCCAAAATTTACATGAGTAATTATTTTCTTCCTTTGCTTTTGTTGTAATGACTGATGACTGTTGTGTTTCATTGTGATACTTTTCAGAATGATGCCTAATCAGTGCTTACCTATACTTTAGTCAATATGCTCTTTGAATATGTGACTAGTACTTAAAAGTTGAATGTTTGTGAGCAAGGATTAAAAGTAGCCAAGAGAGAACTGTTATTTGGTAGGAAGGAAAGGAAAAACTAGGACAAAGATGGAGGGGAAAGTGCCTGCTCTAGCGGCAGGCTGGGAATGAGTGTGTGGGGGAAATTGGGAACACCAGTGGGAAGGGAAGTGGAAACTGGTGAAGAAATTGGTGTTAGAACATTGTATGAAACATATTAATGAATAATTTTGTAACCCTGTATTTCACGGTGAAAAATTTTTTTTCACATAAAATGCTTTAAAATAAAACAGTAAAGTATCTAAGGATAGTACATACACGGGGCAGGTATTTTGCTCCATAGCTGGAAGGAAGCCTGCTTCATGAGCAAAGGGGAGAAGGCAGCTGGGAAAGAGATGGGATCACTTAAACAATGATGACTGGAGGAATTGATCGGGATGGGAGATGTGTGCAGAAAGTAGATAAAGGGCCAAACATGATAACCTCTCAAAGTAGAGAGAGTATGGGGACTATTGTCTGCCAGGGAAAGGGTGGGAAAGGGTGGCTATACTGGAGATATTGGTGGTGAGGAATGTGCACTGGTGCAAGGATGATAATTGTGTGATTGTAAGCCAAACATTAAAGCTTGTAACTATCTCACGGTGATGCAATAAAATTAAGAAAGAAAGAAAGAAAGAAAGAAAGAAAGAACTTCCATGCTAACCAAAAGACAAACAAATAAATGAACAAAAGTAAGGAATATTTACATTAGGGCTTTTACATGAATATTTCATAGAGATCCTTGTGTCCTTTTTAAAAAAATTTTTTATTAGTGAAACACCATGAGGTACAGTTTGTAGACTTACAAATTTTTGTGCTTGGGTTTCAGTTATACAATGATCGAGTACCCATCCCTCCACCAGTGCCCATTCCTCACCTCCAATGCTCCCAGCATCCCTCCCCCTCCCAAGTCCCCAATTCCCTCCCCCCACCCCCACCTCCACCCCCATGGCAGGACATTCCCTTTTGTTCTCTCCTTTTGCGTGGTGCTGTGGTTTGCAAAAGGGCATTGAGTGTCCTTTTTTGTTATAGACATCATGTTCTTTTTTGGGGGGTGGTGGTGGTGGTAGGTTACACCCGGCGTTGCATAGGGGTTACTCGTGGCTCATGCACTCAGGAATTACTGGTTGTGCTCAGGGGACCATATGGGATATTGGAAATTGAACCCGAGTTGGCTGTGTGCAAGGCAACGCCCTATCTGCTGTGCTATCGCTCCAGCCCCAACATCATGTTCTTTTATAGTTTTCCCTTTACCAGCCTATAGTGCATTGCCTTTGCAGTTCTTAATATCCTATGATGATCCTGAATATCAATTATTTGTTCCCTATTTGTATACTGAGCTTTGCTCTTATAGTTTTATGGCTGGACATTATCCTGAAGTCACACATAGTATATACAAAATGCGATTTAACTTGTTCTCATCATTCTTGGTGCAAGTTTATCTCTTCCATTACCTGTGCAACAAGTCTTTGAGGTGAGAAGTTTTTGCACCTTTCATGTTGCTTCTGGCATCTACCTGTAATGACACATGGATTCTTGATACCATGTCCCCATCCCAGCACTTTCTCAGTTCATATCACATTCTGTTGATTTTCTCTGCTCTGTCTCATTGAGTTAGCACTTTCACAGTCTCTTCCATTGGCACTATCTTCCTATCCTATCTATTATTCTTGTTCTCATTCTTTTTACCCTGTAATTCTTTACCTTTATGAATTGCTAGAGCGAAGCATGACCCAAGCCTAGATTTTTTTTCTCAGTTTTGATTTTTTTCTCTGTAAAAATTTTTGTCTCTCTAGCAGCTCTCTTCAGCTTCAGGCATATGTATATAATATGTGTGTATATATATATAAAGATTATGTTATCATTTTATGTTTTAAGTTACCATACTCAGGAAGTTGAAAATGAACCTTAGATCTCTTTTCCATATCGCAAGATAATGTTGGGATCAGAAGAGTCACTGAGGTCTGCGCTATTAAGAGTTTACTGTATTGACAGCATATATCTCAAGGCCACACAACGGCATCATAGCTTACTGACAGGCATCTAGCATGATATTTTTGGCCTGGGACACTTGACTCAAGTCTATCTTTTGCATGCTAGAGTTTATTTTACACCTCTTTGTACTCAATTAAGGCTGAGACCTACCCTTACTGAAGTCTCAGAAGAGTTGATAAAATAAATGACACTTTAAAGCTGACTTTGTAAAAGTCATTGTGTCATTTGCCATCACCTGTTCCCTGCATTTTTGATCATGGGACACAATTAGTGGTAATTTCACCAGCTGGTGTCCTAGGTGATTATGGTAGCAGCCCATACTTGTTTTTCTTATTATTGGTTTTCTTATTATTGTAGTCTCATCTTTCTATTCTGACAGTGACCCCAAATTTCTGTATCCCCCTTGGAAATCTTTTCCTCTTGGAATCACGATTTTCTTTAAGAGCAGTGTTTATAGAACAGCAATTAGAGAGCTCATCTCTGTGTCAACAAGTCATTAAAGATGTAAAACAATTCACAAGGAAAATGAACACACACTTTGTGTGGGATTATCAGCCAGGCTGTGGTGTATCTCCTGAACAAAGTGCAAGTATTCCCAAAAGTGCAGTCAGAATTACAGAGGATGAATACCTGATATTTAGAAGTACATGGAGTGACCAGTCCACTTCTTTTTACACAAAAAATAAGTGTATTTTTTTAAAAATTATTGATAAAGAAAATTTAGTAGATATATTGATGGGGTTTTTTTGGGAGGAAAAATGGTAAAAATACAATCTTGTGTTTACAGTAATTTTAATAGAAAAAGATGTTGACTTTTCCAGCTCGGTGTGCAGAGGTATCCTAAAAAGCAATGATGTTTTGCATACATTTTCATTCTTTGAGAAGTTTTTTTACTTTTAATTAATTTTTAACTGTACTTGAGGTAATATTGTATATGCATAGTAGAATATATCATGTTCTTTATCCATTCATCTGTCATTGGACATTTGAGCTATTTCCAGATTTTGCTATTATAAATTATACTACAATGAGCATTTTATGGTTCAGTTTCTATGTATGAAGACTATGCAAAACTTAAACATCATTAGGTCCCACATGACTTAAGATCCCACTTTTTTCATCTATTCCATGAACACAAAGATATTAGTGGGAAAATACATGTGCATATTTATATCCATTGTGTTTTATGACTTAAAAGTGATTGACCATGAGCAAATATGAAATATGGTGTATTTTCTTTTGAGATCCCATCTGAGATCATTGCAGAAGATACAGGTACTAATGACCAATCTTCTTCTGAAGATAACAAGGTGAGTGAATTCTATTTTAATTTTGTATTGATGGCCTGAGGCACTGCCTATTAGTTCAATACCTTGGGTGTAACTTATGTTTGATAAAAAAAGTGTGCAAGAACCAAGTCATTTCTAGGATGCAACCCAACATAGAGTTAGAAACTTGAATATGTTTTCAAGCCATGCTACACTTAAGACCAGGTTTTTTTTTTAAGACAGGTAAGAAATTTTTCCCTTCCATTCTTTGTTGTGATGGCCTGAGATCGCACCATTTCTTGTGTGTGTGTGTGTGTGTGTGTGTGTGTGTGTGTTTGTGTGTGAATCTGTGTGTGTGTTCTCACCCTTGTTTATGATGCTCATCCAGTCTTTGGTGGGAATTCCTTATCCTCATTCCTTATCCTTCTAGTTACTTATCCTTCTAGTCCCTGGCATCTTCCTAAATGACATGACAATGCTTGACATAATCTCAGTAACCTTAACACATTTTTCAGCTTTTCTTTTGCATTGTGTGTGATTACCTCTGACTTTTCATATTCAGTGATGCTTTGGCAATTCTCCTTTCCTAGAAATACTCTTGTACTTTGGGAAGACCCAAGTATCTCTTTATTCTCCTCTATCTCTTTCATTCTTTTTAGGCTTCTGATCTTCATGAAGTACTGGAGTTCAGAAAGAACCAGGGCTAGGATATCTTTTAGTCTCATTTGGGACAATGTTTTTCTGGATCAAATTTTATCTCACCATAGTTCAGTATCCATAAAGCTCCAGACATATGTGCATAGCTACTGTGCTTGTATCATCATTCAAAGTTTTAAGAAAAGTGAGAATAAAACTTTGATCTCTTTTCAATGTCCCCAGACTTTATGCACAGTGGCACACCTCAAAGCAGTAATATATGAAAGAGCCTGGGAGATATTCCTGAGACTACCTTTTTTCAGTGATTCCATATCCACATTACCCTAAGCTTTGTTCATTTTACTCTCATAATGAATCTAGAATTGATCGACACCTTTTGAGATACATGACCGTAACTTTCATACTGACGACTATTGTCTCCTTGTTCAATTACTACCATTATATAATTTTTCTCTGTGTACTGATACAACCCCAGTCTCTAATCTTAATACTTTTTCTACCAGAAATGTCACCTATGGTCCCCTTTTCCCGGGAGCTTCTTTTCTTCCCTTTTTACATAGTGATGCAATTTTTCCATCTGATTATAAATTGCACTGGAGAGAATCTTAATGTGTATCATACATACATCAAATCATTTACTATTCTCTTTTTGCCCACGAATCTCTCATATTATAAGTGGTTTTATGATTAACAATGACTAATGAATATTTTCTGCTGGATTATATGTTCCATAATGGCCATTTTTGTTCATAATCATTATTTCTGAGCATTATGGAAAGTTTGACCAGGTTTTTCTATGTATTTTTTTGAGTATATAAATGAAGAATAGATTGGCATGACAATGATTCTTTGAAAGAATAAGATTTTAAAAATTTATTTTCAGATTAAATAGTCTTCAATCAGAGTGAAAACATTTCACTTTTATTAATTGTGACTTTTTAAAAATTAGTCACCATGAAATTACATAGTTATTCATGATTGGGTTTCAGGCATACATTGTTTCAACCCCACCCCAATCCCTTCACCAGTGCCCACTTCCCTCTGTGAATTTTCCCCCTACCCCCAGTTTCCTCTCATCCACCAGCTTTCCTCTACAAGGGGCACTTTTTAAAATATATGTTTTTGCACTGTAGTTTACTGTAGTGTTGCTGATAGGGTTTCAAAAAATGCTTTATCATCTTTCAATACTACCTCCTCCTACCATTTGATCTTCCCTCCAGTATCGCCATTGCCCCCTCCCTGTCCTATCTCCCACCCCCCTCAGATAATATGTTGTCTACTGAATACCAGTTCCTCATGTTCATCATTTCCATTGTGATTTTGACAACTTTCAACATGTAGTATAGAAAGAAAACACTCATATAATCTTGGCCTGGATTTTCATACTTGGAATGGGGTAATGAAAATAGTCTGTTTTGAAAGCTAAAACACACACTGATAGAGTGTGTTCTGCATCCAGTTGAACACGTGGGTCTATGAAATTTACCTTTACTGATGCTAGGTGAGTAGAGGTACATTTTTCAGCTATCTCTGTAAAAGCCAACATGTCACTTACCACTGCTTTTTCTCTGCTTTTGAGATCACGGGAACATGGGACGTAAGAATCTCCCTAGCCCGGGTTCTGGGGTGAGTGTAGTGGCAGCCAAAATGGTTTATTTGCTGCAGACTCATCTGCCCAATTCTGACAGATAGCAATATAGACGTAAGTAGTCCCTCTGGGAATCTTTTCTCCCTGCTTCCACCTTAGAATTTTATGATGTTCCTATGACCAGAAAGTTGATGAAACACCGATTAGAAGGGTCATCCCTTTGTCAACCAGTCATACAAACTGGGAACTAATACATGAGAAGAGTGAGCACATACGTGAGGAAACTAGCCAGGATGCAGTGCTGATGGGTACTCCTAGGATGCAGCCAGAGTTGCAATGACTGATTATCCGATGACTAGGGATATCTGGAGTGACCAATCCAGTTTTTATACAAGGGAGCTTTTTATTGTTTTCCAATCAATCTTTCTCCGATTAATAAACAATTGACATTTTATTGATGGAGGAAGGGGTAAAAACTCAGGCCTGTGTTGACAGTTCCCTAATTGGAGCAAGGAAGGTGACTCTCTTAGTTCTGTCTTTATAAAGTGATCTAGAAAGTCACTTTTTCATTTGCTGTTTGCTTCTTAAAAAGAGGTTGACTAAAGTTAAATCTAAATCATGGTCTATTTTCCTCTTAGACAACATCAGAGATTATAACAGAAGATGAAGGGATAAGCAGTCAGTCTGGTTTTGAAGACAGCAAGGTGAGTTGTAAAAGCATTTTAATTTTTATTGAGTTGCTGGTGTCTCAGGCACCCCTTTATTTATTTTTTTAACACCTTGTGTGGAGTTATACTTCATGAACGGAAGTCAGTTCTTAGATATAAATCAGCAGAGAATAAGTACTACAATATTTGTTGTATAGTCACGGTGTACCTAAAATCAGATTTGGGCTAGAATAAACATTAGTTCTGCTTTTTTACTTCCCTTCTGATTCTTGTTGCTGCTGCTGTATGGGTCACACTCACACACACACACGCATACACACACACTCACTCACACAAACAGACACAGACTTATTTTGCCGTGCTTTCATATTTGGTTATAGAATTTACACATTTTAATTGTGTGTTATGATGGTGCTTGCAGTGCTTAGGCACTTCGCTCTTTGTGTAGCAGTGGTGTGTTCGAGACTGTACATTATTGTGGCACTGGGTAATTACAAAAGACAGTGCTTCTGGAATTGTACTCAGCATGTGGAGCAGGGCTGTGATCAAACTCAAGGCCTCTGACTGTAAGGGAAGCATTCTACTACTGAGTCAGTCATACTGGGGGCCTACGTGAATAATTTTGTTTTATTTTATTTTGGTTTGGACTCCTGGCCCTGAACTCAGGAATCGCTCCTGGTTTTGTTCAGGGGAATCACATGAGATGCTGAAGTAGAATCAGTGATATGCATTCAGTTGCCTTTACCATTATATTCCTCAGACCCTATGCATGATTTTAATCACAAGCTTCTAAATTTGCCCCAATTACCATTTAATGTTATTGTCAGCCACAGACTGAAAAAGCTTTTTTTCTTCTGATAGTTTTTAGATTTATTTTTAGATGGGTTTGGGGGGAGAACTTTGGCATTTAAACTTCACCCCATTTTGACAAACACCATAGAGGTTTGTTTTGTTTTGGTTGGTGTGTTTTGTATTGGTTGGTGGCATTGAATAGCATCTTCTCAGCAGAGAATGTCTGTGTACGTTATGCTCTATAGATGGCAGCAAGAGCCAGCCCAGGAGAATCTGCTTGTGGTCTGTTTGCTCTTCTTCCATTTCACATGCATTACAGGTACACATCAGTGCAGGAAATATTTTTCTGTGCCATTCTATAATATTACAGGTGCAGTCTATAAAAATAGGCATATAGGGAAAATGAAAGTTATTTTACTTAAAGGTTTTTTTTTTAATGAGGGATGTTTGGCAATTAAAATTTTTGTGCCTTTAAGCTGTGTAATTTTATCATTTGATGAACATATCCACTGTGAAATAATCACAATCATTGATTAACATATCTATTCTCACTGATAGTTATCATTTCCTTTTCTCTCTATTTTTTATGGTGAGTGTGTGTAAGAAAAAAATGACTTAAATTTGTGTAGCTAAGCAATAATTTTTGGTGTTTGTTTTTAAAATTCTCTCTCTGGATTTTTCCTTCCTAAGGTGCATTTAAAAAATAATTTAAAAGGATAGCTGTAGACAGGAGGTTGTGTAAGAAATCTGGAATGTCAAGTCCCTGTATATTCTGATGTTGAGCTTTTCAGAACCCTAAGCAAACATGGAGGCTTTATAGCTGTGTTTAAAGCCCTTTCTCTGCTCTAAACTTGCCCTTCAGCTCTTGTCTCACATTGAAATGGGAGAATAAATCCTGAGGGGAATGTGAGGAAGTGCCTGGGAAACCGCTGATTTTTGTCCAGCTTGATTAAGGGAATATGGGCGATGCCTGGGTTTTTAAGGAAGCTTGTCTTGGTTTTAAACATTAAAGGAATTTGTGACTTATGATAGTCTGCATTGAGAATAATATTTTTCAAATCTTCCTTTTTTTTACTTCCTTTGATTTTCACATATTATTTGAAGAAGTTTGGGGTGATAGGTAGATCGGAATAGATTTTCAAATGAGGAGGAAAGATAATATTTAATTGCTTTGTTGACAATGTAAAACTGAATTTTTGAGAGTAGGGCTAATAGATAAGATATATGTCTTATATATTAATAAAGGTCTTAATAAGGCACTTAGGGCTGAAGTGATAGTACACTGTTTGCCTTCATGAAAGCGACCCTGATTTCAATCTCTGGCATCCTATATGGTCCCCATAGCACCTGGAGTAATTTCTGAGTGCAGAGACAGGAGTAAGTTCTGAGTACAGCCAGGTGTGACCCTCTAAACAAAACCCCAACAACATAAAGGGGTGAAAAGATCATCTGTTTTCATTAGGGGGTGCAGAAGAAAGTGATACCTTTATATTTGTTATTTAATAACTAAAAGTAAAGTAAGTAAAGGCCCTCCTGTTGATCATCGATTTGCTCGAGCGGGCCCAGTAACGTCTCCATTGGAGATACTACTGAGAGTATCTTGCCCGCATGGCAGAGCCTGGCAAGCCGCCCGTGATGTATTTGATATGCCAAACACAGTAACAACAAAGTCTCCAATGGAGACGTTACTGGGCCCGCTCGAGCAAATCGACGATCAACGGGAGGGCCTTTACCTTTTACCTTTACCTTAATAACTAAGTACCATCTTTTAATAAAAATGGGAGATACACATTTAACCTCACTGAATATAATGTTGCATTTTGCCTACATTATATACTACTATACTTATACCGGAGAGCCCGGCAAACTACCGAGAGTATCTCGCCCGTATGGCAAAGCCTGGCAAGGTCCCCATGGCGTATTTGATATGCCAAACACAGTAACAACAAGTCTCACAATGGAGACGTTATTGGGCCTGCTCGAACAAATTGATAAACAACGGGACGACAGTGCTACAGTGCTATATCCATACGAAAATACTTTGTACAGATTGATCATTGAAAGTTTTCATTGTAATGGTGGAGGGAAGATCATCACTCAGGTGGTGGGATTGGTGTTAGAAAATCAAAAGGCCATAACAATTATATTATTAACAACTTTGTAAACCATGATGTTTATATAAAGTAAAAAAAAACTTAAGATTAAAAAAATTTCATCCTAATAACAATGATTTCTCATGCAAATCCATTCTTATCTTTGAGTATATTCATATGTATAAGTAGCTTGGTATAAATCAACAGATTGAATATTTTAAAGTAATTAGGGTGTTTCTTAAAATTTATAACTTTTTAATTAAAATTCTATTTATTTTTTTAATTTTGATTTTTTTGGTTAAGATATCACTGTCACTGTCACTGTCCTCCTGTTGTTCATCAATTTGCTTAAGCAGGCCCAGTAACATTGTGAGACTTTTTACTGTGTTTGGCAAATCGAATACGTCATGGGGACCTTGCCAGGCTTTGCCGTGCGGGCGAGATACTCTCGGTGGCTTGCCAGGCTCTCTGAGAGGGGCAGAGGAATTGAACTCGGCCAAGTTGGCTGCATGCAAGGCCAATGCCCTACCCACTGTGCTATTGCTCCAAAGTTATTAATAGTTGTGTTTTAGCCATACTATGTTCCAGCACCAGGCCCACCACCAGTGTCAACGCTCTTCCATCATGTTCCCTTCCACCTCCTTGGATTTATAATATATTTTTCAAGCATATAATATGACTTTCACATCAGCATCTATGTGTACTGTTTCCTGTGACCTAACATCTAGTTTCTGTTATTTTTCAACAGCATCTTATCGTTTTCATTTTACAGGACTTTTACCTTAGTAGTTGGATGTATTTCTACATATTTTATTCTTTCTAATGAAGTTGTAAATTACAAACTTTTCTTAGTCCTTTTATGTTAGTTCATAATTTGCAGATGCAAACAAATCTCTATATTGATAATTGATTTTGTTGTATATCATTTTATTGTACTCATTTATTATTTACAACCTAAAATATTACTTATAATATTTTATCTGGAATCATTAGAATTTTATATGCATATCATGGCATTTGCAAACAAAGATTTGTTACTTCATTTTCAGTTTGGATGCATTTTGTTTTATCTCATGTAATGGCTCTAACTTTAGCATCTTTCTTAATATAAATACTGCTTAATATAAGCACTGAATAATGGCAAGCACTTGATTTTATTGGGGAGAAAATGGAGTTGGGTCACACCAGCAGTACTCAGTGGCTATTCCTGGTTCTGTGTTTAGGGGTGACCCTTGGCATTGGTCAGGGGACCATTTGCAGTACCAGGACTTTGACAGGGGGTTGATTAGATGAAAGATGAGCCACTTAAACTCTGTACTTTCTAATATTTTATACATTTATACTTGAGTAAAGAAGCTAAGCTTTGGGGGAAATAAAGTGTACAAGAGAAATCAAACTTTCGTACTTGTGTTTAGACATTGATGACAAGATAGTTCAGGGAAGAAGAGAGGCATTCTCTGATCATTTACTCCATTCCAGGAATATATGTGAGCCTCTCTTACAACTCAAACCCTGTATATTATTCACTTTTCAAGAGCTGTGTGTTACCCAGGTAGAGCAGAAACAAGTGTCAGGATGAATGATCTATGGTTGGAAACCTGCCTCAAGGGCTGGGGGATAGGGTAATTGGGACATTGGGACAATAATGGTTATAAGGGATTACTCCGGATTGGAGCTGTGTACTCAAAGTGGGCAAATGACAAAACACGATGGCCTCTCAGTATCAAACGATAATGCCCAAAAGAGGGGGAGGGAGCGAAAGAGGGGAAAGGGGAAAGGAGGGAGGGAGGGAGGGAGGGAGTCAGAGACAGAGACAGAGACAGAGACAGGGAGAAGAAAATTTCCTGCCAGGGGGCAGGTGGGGTGGGATAAATGGTGGAGTGATGGGTGTTGGAATATTGTATGACTGAAACTCAATCATGAAAGCTTTGTAACTATTTCACAGTGACACAGTGATTCAATTCAAAAAAGAGTTGTGTGTTAATAACCCACTTTATAGCTTCAGAAAAAATTCCACAGACCATATAAAGGGCTTGATAATGTCACATCATTAAGATGTGGGGAGAGCCAAATTTGAATGTTTATAAATCCTGCGATTTTTCCCCCCTTCTTTGGTAAGGCATGCTAGTTTATAATTTCTAAGAAGAGTTA